AGCCTCTAGGGAGGTGTGAATTCAGATCTGAGGGCAATGGGGGGCTATGGGAGGGGCTGGAGCAAAGGAGTGTGTGATTTGACCTCTGTGAGCATCTATGCATGTGACTCAGCCCCCACCCTCCTCATTCTGGTTGACCCCTCCGTGGAGACTTGAGCAAGTCATCTCCCTCTCCACGTCTCAGTTTACTCATCTATAAAATGGGCAAAAAACACCCAGTTAAAAAAAAAAAAAAAATCTCTCTGGGGCCACCTGGTGGCAGTGGAGAAAAGTGTCTGTCCAGAGAAGGGACATTCAAAAGGCACCTTTGGCTCACACTGTCTTTTTTTTTTTTTTTTTTGAGACGGAGTTTCACACTCTTGTTACCCAGGCTGGAGTGCAATGGCGCGATCTCGGCTCACCGCAACCTCCGCCTCCTGGGTTCAGGCAATTCTCCTGCCTCAGCCTCCTGAGTAGCTGGGATTACAGGCACGCACCACCATGCCCAGCTAATTTTTTGTATTTTTAGTAGAGATGGGGTTTCACCATGTCGACCAGGATGGTCTCGATCTCTTGACCTCGTGATCCACCCACCTCGGCCTCCCAAAGTGCTGGGATTACAGGCTTGAGCCACCGCGCCTGGCCCCATTTTTTTTTTTTTTTTTTTTAAGACAGAGTGTTGCTCCGTCGCCCAGGCTGGAGTGCAGTGGCATGATCTTGGCTCACTGCAACCTCCACCTCTTGGGTTCAAGTAATTCTCCTGCCTCAGCCTCCTAAGTAGCTGGGACTACAGGCATGTGCCACCCACCAAGTTAATTTTTGTATTTTTAGTAAAGATGGGGTTTCATCGTGTTGGTCAGGCTGGTCTCAAATTTCTGACCTCATGATCCGCCCACCTCAGCCTCCCAAAGTTGGGAGGTCAGGAGTTCGAGACTAGCCTGGCCAACATGGTGAAACTCCATCTCTACTGAAAATACAAGGGCCAGGCGCGGTGGCTCAAGCCTGTAATCCCAGCACTTTGGGAGGCTGAGGTGGGTGGATCACACGGTCAAGAGATCGAGACCATCCTGGTCAACATGGTGAAACCCTGTCTCTACTGAAAATACAAAACGAAAACAAAAACAAAAACAAAAACAAAAACAAACAAACAAACAAAAAACATTAGCTGGGTGTGGTGGCACGTGCCTGTAATCCCAGCTACTCAGGAGGCTGAGGCAGGAGAATTGCGTGAACCCAGGAGGCAGAGGTTGCGGTGAGCCGAGATCGCGCCATTGCACTCCAGCCTGGGTAACAAGAGCGAAACTCTGTCTCAAAAAAACAGAAAAGAAAAGAAAAGAAAAAAATTAGCCATGCATGGTGTTATGCACCTGTAGTCCCAGCTATTTGGGAGGTTGAGGCAGGAGCAGGAAAATTGCTTGAACCTGGGAGGCAGAGGTTTCAGTGAGCCAAGATCGAGACGTTACACTGCAGCCTGGGTGACAGAATGAAACTGTGTCTCAAAAAAATAAGGCCAGGCACAGTGGCTCACGCCTGTAATCCCAGCACTTTGGGAGGCCAAAGCAGGTGGATTACTTGAAGTCAGAAGTTTAAGACCAGCTAGACCAACATGGTGAAACCCCCATCTCTACTAACTACAAAAAAAAAAAAAAAAAAAAAAAAAAAAAATTAGTCTGGCGTGGTGGCACATCCCTGTAATCCCAGTTAGTTGGGAGGCTGAGGCAGGAGAATCACTTGAACCTGGGAGGCGGAGGTTGCAGTGAGCTGAGAGCCTGGGCACCAGGAGTGAAACTCCATCTCAAAAAATATATATACAATAAACTACAATTAAAAATAAAAATCAGGCCGGGCATGGTGGCTCAAGCCTGTAATCCCAGCACTTTGGGAGGCCGAGGCGGGTGGATCACGAGGTCAAGAGATCGAGACCATCCTGGTCAACATGATGAAACCCCGTCTCTACTAAAAATACAAAAAATTAGCTGGGCATGGTGGCTCGTGCCTGTAATCCCAGCTACTCAGGAAGCTGAGGCAGGAGAATTGCCTGAACCCAGGAGGCGGAGGTTGCAGTGAGCCAAGATCGCGCCATTGCACTCCAGCCTGGGTAACAAGAGCGAAACTCCGTCTCAAAATAAATAAATAAATAAATAAATAAATAAATAAATAAATAAATAAAATAAAAATCAAGGCACCTGAGGCTACTGGGCAGCTCTCCTGGTCATGCAGTAATGCAGGGATGGGGTCGGGGTGGGGCATTTCTCTCCAAACCTCTTGTAGCTTCTGTCCCTTTCCCAGTGAGGCTTCGAGGGCCTCCCAGGATCAAGTAGGGGCCAGGTTTCTCCATCCCAACAGCTATTAATTAACACCTTCCTAGCCGGGCGCGGTGGCTCAAGCCTGTAATCCCAGCACTTTGGGAGGCCGAGGCAGGTGGATCACGAGGTCGACAGATCGAGACCATCCTGGTCAACATGGTGAAACCCTGTCTCTACTAAAAATACAAAAAATTAGCTGGGCATGGTGGCACGTGCCTGTAATCCCAGCTACTCAGGAGGCTGAGGCAGGAGAATTGCCTGAGCCCAGGAGGCGGAGGTTGTGGTGAGCCGAGATCGCGCCATTGCACTCCAGCCTGGGTAACAAGAGCGAAACTCCGTCTCAAAAAAAAAAAACACCTTCCTGTTAGAAATAAGTCTATGAGTGAAACATTAATAGTAAAAGTATTGATAAAATATTAACGTGAGAGTTATATCTGGGACTTCAGAGAGGATGAAGTGAGTTAACACATTCGGAGGGGGAGGACCCAGGCTGGGAAGAACACTGTCTGCCTGGGTTCCAATGATTCCAGTCTTGCACCTTATGGCTGTGTGTCCCTGGGCAAATGACTGCGCCTCTCTGTGCCTCAGTAGCCCCATCCTCGAAATGGGAATAGTTATCCACACTTTATAGGTTGCCTCTGAAAATCCAATGACTTTCACCTTCACGGCTGTTGGCTGAGTGCCGCGTGTGTTTGAAGCACTGTTTATGTCATGAGTCTTAGCTTCCTATTTTTATTTTTATTTTTTTTTCACGAGAGCTTCAAAGCTACTGCAAATCAAAAGCCTCCTATTTTGTCTGTGACTTTGGGGCAGGGGTTGAATCGCTCTGTGCCTCAGTTTCTCCTTGGGGACATGCAACCATTGTCACCCCGGTCACAGTGGCGGGGAGGTGGTGTCAAGACTGCTCAGACCTTGGCTCCAGTGTCCCCACTAGGCCAATCCTAGCAGCCTCTGTCCCCTAGGGATGGCTATAATTAGGTCTGCCCCAGCAGCCACAGATGGTATTTTTGTCTTGGGAACAGAGAGGTCTGGTTCCCACCAGGTGTCTGGTTGCAAGGCTGTGGGGGGTTAGGGGGGCTTCCTGGCCAGATACCTGAGACTCTCTGTCTTTCTGGGCTGTGTGACCGCTCCTCAGAGCCTCTGTTTCCTCATCTGTACAATGGGGAGAATCGCATGTATCTGGCCTTAGCAGGGTTGACTCAGGATCTCCAATGGAAGCCCTGATCAATGTGGCTTCTCCAGGACTGCCAGAAACATGGGTACCGTGTTTGGGGACATCAAGACTGGGGCAGCTCCCTGGAGGCAAGGTTCAGGTTGAGAGACAGAGGTTGTTCCACAGCAAGGGGCACGGTCGGGCCTCAGCTGCTGGGAGGTCCCCCGGGCCTCTGCCTGTGACAGGGATGTTTCTGGGTCCTTCCTCCATGTGTGACACACGCTAAGCCTTGGTTTCCTTTTCTGCAGACTGGAACAGGGCCAGCCCGATCCCAGCATTCCAAGGGTAGAGCACCTGGTACAGACTCTGGGAATCTTCCCAGACACGAGAGTTTCCCCCCGCCGCCCCCGCCGCAATCCTGGGACAGTGAGGTCCCTCCGAGGGCAGGGGTGGGCGGCTGAGGCTTCGCAGGACGGAAGGCTTGGCGGAGGTGGTGTGCGGATGTTTGTCCAGGATGAGACAGCAGGAGAGGCGAAGACATCCAGAGACAGGGCCTGGGGAATGTCAAAGCAGATGGGGGGGGGGGTCACGTGGGGACTCGCGTGGAGGACTGCTGGGAGAGGGGAACCTGAGTTTGAGTCTCACTACCCTGCAGCAAAGCCCCATGCCTGTGACCGCCTCCATGGAAGCCTCAGTTTCCCCACTTGGCAAAGATTAAGGGTTTATAGTTTCTGGTGGGCTGTTTGGTGGCATGGGGCCTCAGTTTCTCCATCTGAAAAATGGGTAGAGGACGATTGGAAACGTTGGGAATGCAGGACAGCTGTTTCTCTCGGCACCTTCCTTTCTGACTCCCTCATTTTATACCTTTTAGGAGTTATCAGCCCAGCAAGCTTCACTAGCCATGGGTGTTCAGAGGAAGGCTGAGAAAGACCCAGGCTCTGGGATCTTAGGGGCAGCCTTCTAAAGTGGTGTAGTTGGGCCAGATACGATGGCTCACACCTGTAATCTCAGCGCTTTCGGAGGCTGAGGCAGGAGGATCACTTGAGTCCAGAAGTTTGAGACCAGCCTGGGCAACATAAGGAAACCGCATCTCTCCAGAAAATACATTAGCCTGGGCGTGGGGGCGTGCGGGCGTGCATCCCAGCTACTCGGGAGGCCGTGGTAGGAGGATCCCTTGAGCCCAGGAGGTTGAGATTGCAACGATCTAGGATTGTGCCAGTGCACTCCAGCCTGGGCAACACAGTGAAATCCTGTCTCAAAAAAAAAAAAAAAAAAAAAAAAGGAGCAGAGTTGCGTTTGACTCTATGCCTCAGTTTCCCCGTTTGTCCCGAGGGTCGTCATGGAGCCGTCCCAGCGCGAGGCGGGGCCGATGCGCCCTTTGCCCCCTCCCCGCTGGGCCCCGCCCCTGCAGCTGTCCAGAAAAGGTCCCGCGCAGCCGGCTCTCGGTCCAGCCTCCACGCGGTCTTGGCGATGCAGGGCCCCCCCGCGCCCGCCCCGGCCCCCGGGCCCGGCTCCCCTCGGGGCTCCCCGCGCGGCTCCCCGGGGCTCTTCAGGAAGCTTTTGGTGAATCAGAGCATCCGCCTGCAGCGGCGCTTCACGGTGGCCCATCCGCTGTGGTGAGGCGGGACAGAGGGCCTGGCGGGGTCACCGGGACGCCCGGTGCGGAGGTGGGAAGGGCAGGGACAGGGACAAGGGCAGGGACAGCTGAGGCCGGGGCCGGGGTCAGAGCATGGACGCTCTGCGTCTCCCTCGCTTTCTCTGTATCTTTCTCCCCCTATTCCACTCTACTTCTGTCTTGCAGTTGGCGACTCTGTCCCTCTCTGTCTCTGTCTGTCTCCACCCGCTGCCTGAACATAGGCCCAGGGGACCAGCCGTCTGTCCGCTTCCAGCTGTGCGGCCCAGAGTGGGACGGGCTGAGGCTCACGTCTCCTCCTGACCCTCGCTGGCCTGGGGCAGGCAGGCTGTGCGTCCGGGCAGTGGGAGGAGGGGGAAGGGGCACTCCTCCCCTTGGCGTTTCCTCCTGCCACCATCCCGTCCCCGTGCCAGCAAAGAGATGTCCTGGGGACCTCACAAGGAACCCTGGGTGATCACAGAGGAAGACCTGAATTGATGGGGTTTTCGAGGCAGGGTGTTCGGGAGCCCCAGGCTGAGCGCGCGCCCGCTCCCCACAGCTGCTTGCGCTGTATCTATCCTCTAAGCACTCGGTGCACTCCTCTGGGTTCGAATCCCCGCCTTTCCAGAAACGGCTGTGAACTCGTGGGGCGGGGTGCCGGCGAGGCTGGGGTTCGGAGTGGGGCTTGTGGGCGCCGACTGTGGCTGGCACCCTGCGCTCGGTCCGCGCCGAATTGGCACCCACTTGGTAAGTCTGGCACGCAGTCTGGCTGAGAGGGGAGGTCCCCCCTGTCAGGTCACAGCTGGGGTTGGAAGGAGACGGCGTGATCGTGGTTCCTGGTGATTCCATTTCAGCCGGGGAGTAGGGGAGTGGGGGTTCCGAGAGCGACCTGGGGCACCAAACACCAGCGAAGCTCGGTCCCTTCTGAAGGCGCTGGAGAGAGTGCAGGGGCGACGAGGGCGCATCGCGCGTACCCAGAAGTGAGGATGAACAAAGGTGGGCCCTGCGCAGGCCGGACCCGAACGAATCCAAGTCCGACCTCCCTGCCTCAGTTTACCCGCCTGGCCAAAAGGCAGCCGCGCCGTTCCCACAGCCGGGGCGCCCTACCCCCGAGCCGCCCGCGTCATGGAACCACAGCCTGACCCCGCCGCTCCTGGCTAAGTTTAGAGCAGAAAGAAAAACAGCCTCCCCCGCCCCAAGAAAAACCGGACCCAGCCCTTAACCCTCCGCGCCCAGGATCCGGATTTGCACACCTTGTGGCCGCTCCTGGCCTCAGTTTCCCTATTTGTCTGTAGGCGCGTTTTCCTGTGGGGGAGAGGCGAGAGAGGAGTAGGGGGTCAGCCACCCGCATGTCTCGCCACCCGCATTCCCCTCGAGGGGCAGATTTGGGGTATCCGCCGCTTCCAGTACGCCCCTAAGAGCGTCTCCGGTAGCGCCACTGCGCCCAGGGCGAGCCCCAGACTGGGCAGGGAAGGGTTAAGAAGCCCCGCCCCCTCGGCCTGCCGGGGGCTTTTCCCGGTGCCGCCAAATCCGCCGGAGCCTGACGGAATAGGCCGAGCGCAGGCGGGTCGCAGTCGGAGATACCCGAACTAACCCCAGTGTAGCCGGACGTGACCCATATGCCCGACTCGGCCCGAGCGTCACCCGGACTTGTTCGAAGTAGACCGAGTTTGACCGGACTTAGTCGAACAAACTCGAACTTATCCGAACTCTCCCGAGCTCAGCCGGACGTAACCGAATCCACCCGAACCTCTTGACAGACTCTTCTGGACCAAGCCCAACTCGATGTGATCAGATCCAACTCAGACCCGGTCCTACTTGACTAAGCCGGACCGAATGCTGCCGAATCTCCCACCTCTACCCAGATCTGAGCCGACGCGGGGGTGCCGACCCCGCCCGTGGTCGGGGATAGGGTGACCTTTGACCCTAAGTTCATGGCCCGAACCAGCTGGACACTGGTCCTCGGCCGGGAACCCAGAGCCTCGGGCCGTCCCCGTCCCCGGTGTCTTCCTGTCGGTGCTGCTTCCGCCCGCTCTTCTTGAAAACCCCACCCCCAGGTCACCATCTTCCCTTCTTGCGCCCCAGTCCTTGCCCTAAGCCCTTTCTCTGACCCCTCAGCCCAAAGAGGAGGGGCCCGAGGGTGTGGCCGGAGGGTAGAACCGGACAGGTGGTGTGGAGAAGGAGGAGGGTGCTCCGGGCAGAGGGCACGGCCTGTGCAAAGGCCTGGAGGTGGAAGAGAACAGGCGGAACGTTGAGGCTGACGATGAAGTCGAGGAGTTGGGGAGCCGAGGGCAGGACGCTGCGAGCTGGGGGCGTGGTCGATGGCCATGGGGCGGAGCCTTATGGACTGAGGGTGGAGCCTGGAGCTCTGGGGGCGTGGCAGGTGGCCAAGGGTGTGGTCAAGTTGGCCGGGAGTGGGATCTCTCTAACGCGCGCAGGACCTAGGCAGGACCCCGGTCTCCTCCAGGTAGTAGAGCCCAAGAAACTGTTTCCAGTCCACGTGTCTACCATAGGAGCCAGATCTCAGTTTGTCTCTGCAGTATGGGCATCCAGCGGCAGTCTTCGGATGCTGTAACCTCCTCGAAGAGCTCTCAGGGATGGGCTACATCAGGCACATACTAGAAGCAGGGGAGGCCGGGCGCGGTGGCTCTCGCCTGTCACCCCAGCACTTTGGGAGGCCGAGGAGGGTGAATCACGAGGTCAGGAGTTCATGAGCAGCCCGGCCAATGCGGTGAGACCCCCGTCTCTACTAAAAAAAACCCCACAAATTAGCTGGGCGTGGTGGCGCGCACCTGTAATCCCAGCTACTCGGGAGGCTGAGGCAGGAGAATTGCTTGAACCCGGGAGGCGGTGGTTGCAGTGAGCCGAGATCGCACCACCACTGCACTCCAGCGCAGGCAACAGAGACTCCATCTCAAAAAATAAATAAATAAATAAGAAAAGAAGAAGAAGGAAAGAAAAAAACAAAACAAAACAAAACAGGAGAGGCCAGGTATAGTGGCTCGCGCCTGTAATCCCGATATTTTGGGAAGCTGAGGTGGGAGAATTGCTTGAGGCCAGGAGCTAAAGACCAGCCTGAGCAAAATAGTGAGACCCGGTCTCTACAGAAAAAATTAAAAATTAGCCAAGGCGTGCACCTGTAGTCTCAGCTACTCAGGAGGCTGAGGCTGGAGCATGGCTTGAGCTTAGGAGGTCGAGGCTGCAGTGAGCTAGGATCACACCACTGCACTGCAGCCTGGTGACAGAGTGGAAACCTGTCAAAAAAAGAAAGAAAAGAAAGAGTGGAGGCCGGGCGCGGTGGCTCAAGCCTGTAATCCCAGCACTTTGGGAGGCCGAGGTGGGTGGATCACGAGGTCAAGAGATCAAGACCATCCTGGTCAACATGGTGAAACCCCGTCTCTACTAAAAATACAAAAAATTATCTGGGCATGGTGGCGCGTGCCTGTAATCCCAGCTGCTCAGGAGGCTGAGGCAGGAGAATTGCTTGAACCCAGGAGGCGGAGGTTGTGGTGAGCCAAGATCGTGCCATTGCACTCCAGCCTGGGTAACAAGAGTGAAACTCCGTCTCAAAAAAAAAAAAAAGAAAAAAAAAAAGAAAGAGTGGGCAAGCAAGAGAGAGAGAGAGAGAGAGAGAGAGAGAGAGAGAGAGAGAGAAAGAAAAGAAAGAGAAAGAAAGAAAGAAAGAGAAAGAAAAAATATAAAAGAAACAGGGTGGTTGAGGTCCAGAGAAAGGCAATACCTGTCCAGAGCCACACAGCCACTGTGAGGAAGATCTGGAACTCAGGTCCTGGAGTCCAGTGTAGACTTGAAGACCAAAGTGTGAGTGCAGGGTTCCTGACGGTGAGGCTGGGGGTGGGTGAACAGGCTAGAAATCACACCTGCCTCACTGCCAAGCAACCCCAGGAAGACTCACCAGACCAGGGGCAGCCCACAACCCAGCACCCCGTTGTCATGACCCTGGTCTCTGACCATGCCTTCTCTCCTTTCAGCTTTGACCTGGAAAATGGGCTCTCGAGTGGGAGGAGCGCCCTGGACCCTCAGTCCAGCCCTGGCCTGGGCCGGGTCGTGCAGGCTCCTGTCCACCACAGCCAGAGGCGCGAGTCCTTCCTGTACCGCTCAGATAGCGACTATGATCTCTCACCCAAGGCCATGTCGCGGAACTCCTCTGTGGCCAGCGACCTGTGAGCCTGGGGTTGGTGGGATGACACCTCCTCTACCCTCCCTCCTTCCTTTGTTCCCTCTATTCAGCAAGCTCCTTCAAGTAGCCATTTAAGGAAGGTTTTGAAGTTTAAGTAGGAGTTTGCCAGGCAGCTCATTTACTCAATCAAGTGTGTAGAGAACTTGGCCTTTTGTTGGGGTGGGGGTGGTAATCCAAAAACATTAAGGTCGTCCAGACACAGTGGCTCACGTCTGTAATCCCAGCACTTTGGGAGACTGAGGTGGGCAGGTCACTTGAGGTCAGGAGTTTGGGACCAGCCTGGCCAACATGGTGAAGCCCCATCTCTACTAAAAAATACAAAAATTAGCCAGGCGTGGTGGCACGCACCTGTAGTCCCAGCTACTCAGGAGGCTGAGGCATGAGAATCGCTTGAACCCAGGAGGCAGAGGTTGCAGTGAACGGAGATTGCACCACTGCACTCCAGCCTGGTGGGTGAAAGAGCAAGACTGCCTCAAAAAACAAACGCATTAAGGCCAATTAGCAGCAAATGAAGAAATACTTTGATTTGAGCTTCCTGGTAGACATAATGAAAAGGGAAATACCTACTTGCCACTGGGACTCAGTTTCCTCATTTATAAGATGCCAATAAAGTGATTGAACGGTTGGAGGGGCTTTGGTGGGTCTCAGGGAGGGTCACATGAGGGGAGCCCAGGGACTAAGAAGGCGCCTGGAGAAGTCCTGAGAGCAGGGCCTCTTCAGCTGAGGGCGTGGTGTGGGTAAAAGCTGGAAGACGGGAGAGAGCTCTTCCTGATGGCCGGTCTCCTCGCAGACATGGAGAAGACATGATTGTGACGCCCTTTGCCCAGGTGGGTATCCCCTGCCCTCCCTGCCCTGATCCTCTCCGGATCCGACCTCTTCTTCCCAGCGCCGACCACCGCCTCCCAACAGGTCCTGGCCAGTCTGCGGACGGTTCGGAGCAACGTGGCAGTCCTTGCCCACCAGCAATGCCGAGGAGCCGCCAAGTAGGTAGAGGGCGGGGCGGGGGCGGAGCCAGCAGAGACAATGTGGGCGGGGCGGGGGCGGAGCCGGCAGAGACAATGTGGGCGGGGAGGGGGCGGAGCCGGCAGAGACCAGGTGGGCGGGGCGGGGGCGGGGGCGGAGCCGGCAGAGACCAGGTGGGCGGGGCGAGGGCGGAGCCGGCAGAGACAAGGTGGGCGGGACGGGGGCGGAGCCGGCAGAGACAAGGTGGGCGGGGAGAGGGCGGAGCTGGCAGAGACAAAGTGGGCGGGGAGGGGCGGGACCGGAAGAGGGCAGAGGCGGGGCCTGGCAGAAAGCGGGCTTCAAATTGAGGCTCGGGCTCTGGCACCTCCACGTGGGTGGAAGGGGCGGGACCTGGAGGATTTGGGGGCGGAGCGAGATGGGCGGGGCATCCACGCCTGAGGCTGCTGTACGGCAGGCAGGGACCCGTCGGAAACCTTTCATCCAGCCATCAGCCCCCTCCGCCTGCAGGTAATGCATGGGTTCCTTCCCTCCCCGGCTGAGGACAGCTGGGAGTTTCCTTTCCATAGTGACCTCCCCAGTCCATGAGCCCTTAGACTGGGGCTAATTATAGCCCCGTCCCCGCAAAAATCAAACAATAATACCTCGGGGATGGACCCCGCCACAACCTTATTACATATGGGGAGGTTGAGGCCCACAGACCTGCTCATGGTCACATGGTCACACAGTCACTTAGGGGACAGATCTGGGATTTGAGTCCTGGGGTCCTGGGGGACCCCAGTTTCAGGGTCCGGATGCAGAGACGAAGGCGTGAGGGGCTTGGGGCCCCCGAGCGGGGGTGGGGCAGGCCCCTGACTGCCTCGGCTCCCAGAGGACACGGGGCAGAAGCTGGCACTGGAGACGCTAGACGAGCTGGACTGGTGCTTGGATCAGCTGGAGACTCTGCAGACCCGGCACTCGGTGGGGGAGATGGCTTCCAACAAGGTGAGCAGGGGCAGATCGCTGAGCCCAGCTGCCTCGGCCCACGGGGCCCCATGGTCACTGTCTGCACCTTCCCTCCACCCCAGTTCAAGCGGATCCTGAACCGGGAGTTGACCCACCTGTCTGAAACCAGCCGCTCCGGGAACCAGGTGTCCGAGTACATCTCCCAGACCTTCCTGGGTGAGCTTTGTTGAGTCACTGCCTGGACAAGATTATAGGAGTACTAAGAAACTAGAGGAAGAAAGATTTCTGGCCGGGCGCGGTGGCTCACTGTAATCCCAGCACTTTGGGAGGCCGAAGCGGGCGGATCACGAGGTCAGGAGTTCGAGACCAGCGTGGCCAACATGGTGAAACCCCGTCTCTACTAAAAATACAAAAAAAAAAAAAAAAAAAAAAAATTAGCCGGGCCTGGTGGCACTCGCCTGTAGTCCCATCTACACGGGAGGCTGAGGCAGAAGAATCGCTTGAACCCGGGAGGTGTAGGTTGCTGTGAGCCAAGATCGCACCACGGCACTACAGCTTTGGCAACAGAGTGAGACTTCATGTCAAAAAAAAAAAAAAAAAAAGAGAGAGAGAAAGATTTCTATTCTAGACCTCAGTCTTCGGGAGATGAGGAGATACAGCCAGACACAGACACCTTCAGCCCCATGAGTCAGGGCTGGATCAGAGGGAGAAACAAGGGATCTTCCAGGAGCAGGGGATATTAAAGCCGGGGTTTTGAAGCATGAGTAGAAATTTGCCTAGGAAGAGGTGCAGGGATCCAGACACCGGCTTGGGAGATGGAAGGAACTGTTTGGGGGGAAATGCTGAGCCCCAGGCACCCAGGGGGGCCATGCCTAGCAGAAGGGTTCACTGAGATCAGCTGTGAACAGAGGAGAGGGGTAGGTAGCTACAAGGAGGACAAGGTCTTTTTTTTTTTTTTTTTTTTTTTTTTTTTTTGAGACAGAGTTTTGCTCTGTTGCCTAGATGGAAATGCAATGGCGCGATCTCAGCCACTGCAACCTCCGCCTCCTGGGTTCAAGCGATTCTCCTGCCTCAGCCTCCCGAGTAGCTGGGATTACAGGCTCCCACCACCACACCCAGCTAATTTTTGTATTTTTAGTAGAGACGGGGTTTCACCATGTTGGCCAGGCTGGTCTCAAATTCCTGACCTCAGGTGATCCGCCTTCCTCGGCCTCCCAAAGTGCTGGGATGACAGGCGTGAGCCCCTGCACCCGGACTTAACTTTTGTATTTTTAGTAGAGATGGTATTTCACCATATTGCTCAGGCTGGTCTGAAACTTCTGACCTCAAGTGATCCGCCCACCTCCGCCTCCCAAATCGCTGGGATTACAGATGTGAGGCACTGCGCCCGGCCGAAAGGGTCCTTACTCCAAACTTACTTTGGTTCCTATAGAAAGGGAAATAGATTGATCCTGGGGTTTTGCGAAGTTCAGGTCCTGAGGCCAGGCAGGACCATCCCAGCAGGTGGAATGGGCTTCTCTGAGCCTCACCCTGCCCCATCTACAGACCAGCAGACTGAGGTGGAGCTGCCCACGGTGACCGCCGAGGAGCCTCCGAAGCCCGTGTCCCAAATCAGCGGCTTACATGGGCTCTGCCAGAATGCCAGCCTCTCCTCAGCCACCGTCCCACGCTTTGGGGTCCAGACTGAGCAGGAGGAGCAGCTGGCCAAGGTGGGTCTCCAACCACAATGCCAAGATCAAAGTTTGGTCCCTGGCTTGGTCTGGATGTCCTATCTTGGGCCTCAGTTTACCCACCTATATACTGGGCAATGGGGCTCACTGTGGAAGCTGGGGTGGGAGGATGGAGGCTCTAGCGTCTGCGGAAGTTGGGCTGGGGTTAATTGAGCTCTAGCCCTTCACATCTTAGGAGCTAGAAGACACCAACAAGTGGGGACTTGACGTATTCAAGGTGGCAGAGCTAAGTGGGAACCGGCCGCTCACAGCTATCATATTCAGCATTTTTCAGGTACCTACCCTGCCCTTGGCTTCCAAGGAAAAACTCCTGGGCTTTCCTTCACCCCTTCCTATGCCAGACCTCAGGGACACTCAGTTTTCAAATCCTCCCTGACGTTTCTGAAGGGGATAATTTGAGCAGGGTATTGAAGGATGAATAGGAGTTCACTCTGGTGAACAGTTTGTTGTCCCGAAGCCTCAGCCTTGGCCCCTGGGCCTGAAGAGGAGAGAAATCTGGAGAGAAGAGCTGGAGACAGACACCCCGAGTCCTGTAGGGTTGGCCCACCAAAGAACAGGGAGTGAAGGAGTTCAGGAGAGCAGGGAGGGCGTCTCAGAGGAGTGGGCACTTGAGGCATGGCTAGGAGTTCAGAAGAGAGGAGAAGGAATAGCATGTGCTGCAGCCGCAAGGCCAAGGGCCTGAGCCCGGGTCTGTGATGGACCAGGAGCGGGACCTGCTGAAGACATTCCAGATTCCAGCAGACACACTGGCCACCTACCTGCTGTTGCTGGAGGGTCACTACCATGCTGACGTGGCCTATCACAACAGCCTCCACGCCGCCGACGTGGCCCAGTCCACGCACGTGCTGCTGGCTACACCCGCCCTCGAGGTACCGCGCCGCGGCTGCACGCAGGCGGGCGGGAGCAGGGCTCAGAGAACCCGCCGCTCACCGCCTGTGCCCTCTGCGCACTCAGGCTGTGTTCACAGACCTGGAAATCCTGGCTGCCCTCTTTGCAAGCGCCATCCACGATGTGGATCATCCCGGGGTCTCTAACCAGTTTCTGATTAACACCAGTAAGTAGGAGTGGGGAGTGGGTGCAGGAGGGGAGGCGGGCCCTGCCTCCACGCTGCCCGCCGGGATCTCAGGCGGTTCCCACCTGCCCTCAGCCCGGTTTCCCTGTCTATGAAATGACTATGACAGTCTTCCCTCCCTTCAGGGGCTTGGAGCAGGCCTGGGTACACAGTAGGTGCTTAATAAATGAGAGAGTAACAAGCTGTGGCAGAGCTGATCTGGTTCCACCAAGATCTTTACTTATTATTATTATTATTATTTTTGAGACGGAGTCTCACTCTGTCACCAGGCTGGAGTGTAGTGGCATGATCTCGGCTCATGGCAACCTTCGCCTCCTGGGTCCAAGCAATTCTCCTGCCTCCACCTCCTGAGTAGCTGGGATTACAGGCGTACGCCACCACACCTAGCTAATTTTTGTACTTTTATTAGAGACAGAGTTTCACAGTCTTGGCCGGGATGGTCTCGATCTCTTGACCTTGTGATCTGCCCGCTTCAGCCTTCCAAAGTGCTGGGATTAAAGGTGTGTGCCACCGTGCCTGGCTATTTATTTATTGAGACACGGTCTTGCTCTGTCACCCAGGCTGGAGTGCAGTGACACGATATGGGCTCACTGCAGCCTCCACATCCCAGTTCAGCCGATTCTCCAGCCTCAGCCTCTGGAGTAGCTGGGATTAGAGGCATGCACCACCATGCGGGGCTAATTTTTGCATTTTTAGTAGAGACAGGGTTTCACTATGTTGCCCAGGCTGGTCCGAGTGACCTGCCCACCTCAGCCTCCCAAAGTGCTGGGATTTACAGGCGTGAGCCACTGCGCCGGGCCAGTTCCGCCAAGATCTTAAAGTTTAGGATCCCATGAGGAGTCTAAAACACTCAGTTGACAGGCAGTTACCGGGTACCTTTTGTGTGTAAGCCCTGGAGTGCTGGGGGTGAGAGTGGAGCCCCTCACTCAAGGAGCCGAGAGTCCAGTAAGACAGACTCGGTGGTTTATTTAACCGGCACTGAGAGACTGGGCGCCATGGCTCACACCTGTAATCCCAACACTGTAGGAGGTAGAGGTGGGAGGATTGCTTGAGGCCAGGAGTTCAAGACCAGCCTGGGCAATACAGTGAGACCCTGTCTCTCCAATAAAAATAAATAATAAATAAATAGCCAACGGTGGTGGCACACGCCTGTAATCCCAACTACTTAGGAGGCTGAGATGAGAGGATCACCTGAGGACAGGGGGTTGAGGCTGCAGGGAGCCGTGATCTTACCACTGTGCTCCAGTCTGGGTGACAGCAAGACCCTGTCAAGAAAGAAAAAGAAAGAAAGAAAGGGCCGGGCGCGGTGGCTCACGCCTGTAATCCCAGCACTTTGGGAGGCCGAGGCGGGTGGATCACGAGGTCAAGAGATCGAGACCAGCCTGGCCAACATGGTGAAACCCCGTCTCTCCTAAAAATACAAAAATTAGCCGGGTGTGGTGGCACATGCCTGTGGTCCCAGCTACTTGGCAGTCTGAGGCAGGAAAATTGCTTGAACCGGGGAGGCAGTGGTTGCAGTGAGTCGAGATCGCACCACTGCACTCCAGCCTGGTGACAGAGCAAGACTCCATTTCAAAAAAGAAAAGAAAAGAAAAAACCATCACTGAGCACTCACTGTCTCTGGCCATAGTGAGTCCCTCAGGATACTTCTCAGTCTTGGATAGGCAGGGTGAAACCCTGATACCCCCAGCCCTGCAGTCAGAGAAGGGCCAGGAAGCTGGATGGTTTCTTACAGGAGGGCAAGCTAGATTTGGGCCTTCACCGCATGGGTCGGAGTTCGCTAAGAATTTTCAAAAGCTGCCTGTGGGTAGAGTGGGTGGGGTGGGTGGATCTTGGGGGCCTCAGTCCCATACCCCCACAGACTCAGAGCTGGCGCTTATGTACAACGACGCCTCGGTGCTAGAGAACCATCACCTGGCTGTGGGCTTCAAGCTGCTGCAGGCAGAAAACTGCGACATCTTCCAGAACCTCAGCACCAAGCAGCGGCTGAGTCTGCGCAGGATGGTCATTGACATGGTGAGGGCGGGGCAGGAGGCGGGGAGGGGAGGTCAGGCGCTTCTTCCTCATCTACAGACAGCAGCGTGGGGCGATACTGGCATGGCGGGCATGTCCCAGGCACGCCCTCACCCTGAGTCTACGCTTCCTCATCAGTGAAATGGGTCAGTGGAGCCAGGAGCAGTGGAGCCAGGAGCAGTGGCTCACGCCTATAATTCCAGAACTTTGGGAAGCCGAGGTGGGCGGATCACCTGAGGTCAGGAGTTCGAGACCAGCTTGACTAACATGGTGAAACCTCGTCTCTACTAAAAATACAGAAATGCACTGGGCGTGGTGGTGCATGCCTGTAGTCCCAGCTACTTGGGAGGCTGAGGCAGAAGAACCACTGGAACCCAGGAGGCGGAGGCTGTAGTGAGCTGAGATCGTGCCACGCACTCCAGCCTGGGCGACAGAGTGAGACTCCATCTTAAAAAAAAAAAAAAAAAAAAGGCCGGGCGCGGTGGCTCAAGCCTGTAATCCCAGCACTTTGGGAGGCCGAGGCGGGTGGATCACAAGGTCAAGAGACCGAGACCATCTTGGTCAACATGGTGAAACCCCGTCTCTACTAAAAATACAAAAAAAAATAGCTGGGCATGGTGGCGCGTGCCTGTAATCTCAGCTACTCAGGAGGCTGAGGCAGGAGAATTGCCTGAACCCAGGAGGCGGAGGTTGCGGTGAGCCGAGATCCCGCCATTGCACTCCAGCCTGGGTAACAAGAGCGAAACTCCGTCTCAAAAAAAAAAAAAAAAGGCTGGGCAGGGGTGGCTCACACGTGTAATCTCAGCACTTTGGGAGGCTGAGGCAGGTGGATCACTTGAGGTCAGCAGTTCAAGACCAGCCTGACCAACATTGTGAAAACACCGTGTCTACTAAAAACACAAAAATTAGCGGGTCATGGTGGCATGTACCTGTAATCCCAGCTGCTTGGGAGGCTGAGGCAGGAGAATCGCTTGAACCTGGGAGGCAGAGGTCGCAGTGAGTTGAGATCATGCCACTGCACTCCAGCCTGGGCGACAGAGTGAGCCTTTGTCTAAAAAAAAAAAAAAAAAAAAATTTAAGCACATCTGTTCATTTGATTTTTTTTTTTTTTTTTTTTTTGAGACGGAGTTTCGCTCTTGTTGCCCAGGCTGCAGTGCAATGGCACGATCCCAGCTCACCACAACCTCCGCCTCCTGGGTTCAGGCAATTCTCCTGCCTCGGCCTCCTGAGTAGCTGGGATTACAGGCACATGCCACCGTGCCCAGCTAATTTTTTGTATTTTTAGTAGACACGGGGTTTCACCATGTTGACCAGGATGGTCTCGATCTCTTGACCTCGTGATCCACCCGCCTTGGCCTCCCAAAGTGCTGGGATTACAGGCTTGAGCCACTGCGCCCGGCTCGGGTTTTTTTTTTTTAAGATGGGGTTTCACCATGATGGCCAGGCTGGTCTTGAACTCCTGACCTCAGGTGATCCGCCCGCTTCGGCCTCCCAAAGTGCTGGGATTACAAGTGTGAGTCACCGCGTCCGCCCTGAGTTGGGGTCTTGAGTGGTGGGGGGACCACATTTGGGATAAATGAGAGATTTGGGGAGAAGTTTTGAGACCATTGATTCTCAGAGAAGCCTGTGAACCACATCTGAGTCACTCCTGGCTGGGCTGACTCTGCACACGTTGGGTTAAGCTGTTTTTTGGTTTTGTTTTGGAAACAGAGTCCTGCTCTGTCACCCAGGCTGGAGTGCAGTGGCGCGATCCCCGCTCACTGCAACCTCTGCCTCCCAGTTCAAGCGATTCTCCTGCCTCAGCCTCCTGAGTAGCTGGGACTACACGCGTGCACCACCACGCCCAGCTAATTTTGTATTTTTAGTAGAGATGAGGTTTCACCATGTTGGTCAGGCTGGTCTCAAACTTCTGACCTCAGGTGATCCGCCCACCTTGGCCTCCCAAAGTGCTGGGATTACAGGCGTGAGCCATCATGCCCGGCCAGGTTAATTTGGTTTTTAAACATCTGTGCTCAGAGTTAGAAATAGCTCTCCAGGGCACATGGCGGCCACATGGAAGTTTGAGGGGTCTGAAGTCACATCCCTTCTCACAGTGAGCTGCAAACTCCCCTGTGGCTCCGATGACCTCTGAACAAGGTTCTCCAGCTGCCAGAGGCCCTCAGCCTCCTCAATCTCGAGTCCATCTCTCATGACTTCTTCCAGTCACAAGCCCCTCTTATAAGTCTCTCCCATGTACCCAACTCTCCCAGCCCCAGGACCTTTGCACAGACCTCATCCTCCCCACTGTCCTCAGGCACAAGTCACCTCAGCCTCTAACCAGTCCTGTGGGGTAAGAGTCGGGGTTGGAGGAGGCCAGAAGGGTCAACAGAGGCATCCTAGAGGATGGGTTATTTGAAAAGGGTTTTGAAGGATGAGTGGGAGTTGGGAAGCAGCATTCCAGGCGGAAGGAACAACCTGGCTAAATATCTGGAGGCTGGATTGGTTCTAGGGTTTGCTGTGACTCACCAAATGCCTACCTGCCCCACCCGCCCCACAGGTGGGTTTCACTGATGACATTACCCACCCACTGTGGGAGACTTGGGCTGACAAGTCCCAGACACACAGGTTTGATCACCTCCCTCCTACACCCTGTCACACATGTGGAATTCATGGCCAACCCAAACGACCTCCCAAAAGGGGTCCCTGGCTGAGCCCCTCTTGCGAGCAGGGTTTGCAGTGAATGCCATTGGCTCCTCCCGTTTCACAGATGGGGATGCTGAGGCCCAGCGGGCTCTCTGAGCCGGAGTGGTGTCTGGCGGTTGGGAGTGAGGGTCGGGGTGGGCAGGGTCCTCGTGCCTGTCACTGTCCCTTGCCTGCCCCCAGGTGCTGGCCACGGACATGTCCAAGCACATGAACCTCCTGGCCGACCTCAAGACCATGGTAGAGACGAAGAAGGTGACAAGCCTCGGCGTCCTCCTTCTGGACAACTATCCGGATCGCATCCAGGTGCGCAGCTGGGCAGGCACTGGGGCCTCCTTTTCAAATTCTGGTTTTACATTAAAAACACTTTTAGCCAGGCTTCTAACACATTTAGTTTGAGAGAAGCCTGGACGCAGCGGTGCAGGCCTGTAATCCTAGCATTTAGGGAGGCCAAGGTGTGAGGATCGCTTGAGGCCAGGAGTTAGAGAGGCTGCACTGAGCTGTAACTGCACCACTGCACTCCAGCCTGGGCAACAGAGTGAGACCTTGTCTCTGAAAACAAACAAACAAACAAACAAAAAAACCGGGTGTGGTGGCTTACCCAGCACACTGGGAGGCCGAGGTGGGCGGATCACAAGATCAGGAGTTCAAGACCAGCCTGACCAACATAGTGAAACCCCGTCTCTACTAAAAATACAAAAAATTAGCCATGCGTGGTGGCACGTGCCTGTAATCCCAGCTACTCAAGAAGCTGAGGCAGGAGAACCGCTTGAACCCAGGAGGCGGAGGTTGCAGTGAGCTGAGATCATGGCATCGCATGCCAGCCTGGGCGACAGAACAAGACTCCGTCTTAGGCTGGGTGCAGTGGCTCTCACCTGTAATCTTAGCACTTTGGGAGGCCGAGGCGGGTGGATCACCTGAGGCTGGGGGTTTGAGACCAGCCTGACCAACATGGAGAAACCCCATCTCTACTAAAAATACAAAATTAGCTGGGCATGGTGGTGCATGCCTGTAATCCCACTTGGGAGGCTGAGGCAGGAGAATCACTTGAACTGGGGAGGCGGAGGTTGTGGGGTGAGCCAAGATTGAGCCATTACACTCCAGCTTGGGCAACAAGAGCAAAACTCTGTCTCAAAAATAAATAAAGAAGTCTGGGCTCGGGGGCTCACACCTGTAATCCTGGCACTTTGAGAGGCCGAGATGGGCAGATTGCTTGAACTCAGGAGTTCGAGACCAGCCTGGGCAAAACCCCGTCTCTACAAAAATATAAAAATTAGCCGGATGTGGTGGTGCACGCCTGTAGTTCCAGCTACTCGGGAGGCTGGGCTGGGAGGATCGTTTGACCCCGGGAGGCAGAGGTTGCAGTGAGCTGAGATCTCGCAATTGCACGCCAGCCAGGATCACAGAGTGAGACCCTGTCTCACTCTTTCTTAGTTTAAAAAAAAAAAAAAAAAAAAAAAAAAAGACCGGGCGCGGTGGCTCAAGCCTGTAATCCCAGCACTTTGGGAGGCCGAGGCGGGTGGATCACGAGGTCGAGAGATCGAGACCATCCTGGTCAACATGGTGAAACCCCGTCTCTCCTAAAAATACAAAAAATCAACTGGGCATGGTGGCTCGTGCCTGTAATCCCAGCTACTCAGGAGGCTGAGGCAGGAGAATTGCCTGAACCCAGGAGGCGGAGGTTGCGGTGAGCCGAGATCGCGCCATTGCACTCCAGCCTGGGTAACAAGAGCGAAACTTCAAAAAATAAAATAAAATAAAAAAAGTGGGCAAGGACGTCCATATCTGCGGTTCTCATTCAGCTTCATTTATGAAGTGGCAACAACTACATTCCAAACTTGAAGAAATGGCAAGAGTCACATGCCTGTGTCTCAACCACTTCTTCAGCTCCTGGCCTCAGTTTCCCCACTTGTAGGATGGATGTGTCCGTGGCACCAAGCCTGTCTGTGGAGGGGAGGGGGCAGGTCTCGGCGCGGCTGGCCCTGCCAGTGCCCTCCCGAGCCTCCATCTCTGCAGGTCTTGCAGAGCCTGGTGCACTGTGCCGACTTGAGCAACCCCACCAAGCCGCTGCCCCTGTACCGCCAGTGGACGGACCGCATCATGGCCGAGTTCTTCCAGCAGGGAGACCGCGAGCGTGAGTCGGGCCTGGACATCAGCCCCATGTGTGACAAGCACACGGCCTCAGTGGAGAAGTCCCAGGTCGGCAAGGGACTGGGTTGAGCTGGTAGACACTGGGAGGGAGGAGAGAGGGAGGGGCTGAGCCAATCCCACATATACAGTCAGCCCTGTGGGGTCAGGGTTGGGGTTGGAGGAGGCCAGAAGGGCTAAGAGAGGCATTCTAGAGGATGGGTTATTTGAAGAGGGTTTTGAAGGATGAGTAGGAGTTGGGACGTGGCATTCCAGGCAGAAGGAACAACCTGACTAAAGATCTGGAGGCTGGATTGGGTCTAGGGGTCGCTGTGACACACCAGATGCCTACCTGTCCCACCCCGTCCCTCACAGGTGGGTTTCATTGACTACATTGCCCACCCACTGTGGGAGACTTGGGCTGACCTGGTCCACCCAGACGCACAGGACCTGCTGGGCACGCTGGAGGACAATCGAGAATGGTACCAGAGCAAGATCCCCCGAAGCCCCTCCAGCCTCACCAACCCCGAGCAGGGCGGGCCTGACAGATTCCAGTTTGGGCTGCCTCTGGAGGAGGCAGAGGAGGAGGAGGAGGAGGGGGAAGAGCCAGCTTTAGACAAAGAGGCCTTGGAGTTGTCTGACACTGAACTGCCCCCCGAAGCCAGCCCAGACCCTGGGGACCTACCCCTCGACAACCAGAGGACTTAGGGCCAGCCCTGCGTGAACCGTGAGGGCCGTGGGATGGTGAAACCCTCTGACTTGCAAGCAGACTTTCCAGGAAGATGCCCCATGTGGTCCCTGCTTCACGTTCCCACCCATTGAGGGAGACAATCAAGCTCTTGGTTTTGAGGCAGCGCTCAGGATCTAATCGGAGGCACCTGGCTGGGGTCCACTCTGACCCCAGGCTTGCCTAAAAGAGCTCTCTAAGGGGCAGCCGCTTACAGTGCCCTTGGGGTCTTTCTCCCAGGCTTCTCTCCGTGGCGTGGAGAGGTGGTGTCTGCTAGAGCCTCTTGTCCACCCTCTCCCGTGGTCACACTTGAGCCAATCTGTCATTTAATTCTTTCCTTCTTTATCAAATATTTATTGCCCATTGACTTCGTGCCAGCTTTATGCCTCTGTAGCAGCCCCGCACAAGGGGTGGGGAGTCAGGAGACCATTCCGAAGGCATCTCCCCACCTGCTTCTACCACGCAGCTCTCTGCAAGAGCGTGAGACTGCAAATGGGGGCATTTTCGACACCAAAGCTTCATTCATACCCGATGTGGTTTCCGAAGCTGTGGTAGGGAGCAGGAAGGAGGCAGAAAAGGGAGGTTGGGCAAGGTGTGGAGGCTCATGCCTGTAATCCAGCACTTTGGGAGGCTGAGGTGTGAGTACTGCTTGAGCTCAGGAGTTTGAGACCAGCCTGGGCAGCATAGCAAGACCCCGGTATCTGCAAAACATAAAAAATTAGCCAGGCATGGTGGTGTGCACCTGTAGTCTCAGCCACTCAGAAGGCTGAGACAAAGTGGATCGCTTGAGCCCAGGAGTTGGAGGCTGAAGAGAGTTATGACTGCACCACCGCACTCCAGCCTGGGCAACACAGCAAGACCCTGTCTCAAAAAAAAAAAAAAAAAAAAAAAAAAAGAAGAGAAGAAAGAAAGAGAGGGGGCTCTGAGGCTGGGCGCGGTGGCTCACGCCTGAAATCCCAGCACTTTGGGAGGGTGAGGCGGGCAAATCACCTGAGGTCAGGAGTTTGAGACCAGCCTGGCCGACATGGTGAAACCCCGTCTCTACTCAAAATACAAAAATTCGTCAGGCGTGGCCGGGCGCGGTGGCTCAAGCCTGTAATCCCAGCACTTTGGGAGGCTGAGGCGGGTGGATCACGAGGTCAAGAGATCGAGACCATCCTGGTCAACACGGTGAAACCCCGTCTCTACTAAAAATACAAAACATTAGCTGGGCATGGTGGCGCGTGCCTATAATCCCAGCCACTCAGGAGGCTGAGGCAGGAGAATTGCCTGAACCCAGGAGGCGGAGGTTGCGGTGAGCCGAGATCGCGCCATTGCACTCCAGCCTGTCTCAAAAAAAAAAAAAAAAAAAAAACCCCAAACCCAAAAAACAAACAAACAAAAAAATTCGTCAGGCGTGACGGCGCGTGCCTGTAATCCCAGCTACTCGGGAGGCTGAGGCAGGAGAATCGCTTGAGCTCAAGAGGCTTGCGGTGAGCTGAGACAGCGCCATTGCACTCCAGCCTGGGCGACACCATCGAAACTCCATCTCAAGAAAGACGGAGGGAGGGAGGGAGGGAGGGAGAAAGCAAGGAAAAGGAAGGAAGGAGGGAAGGAGGGAAGGAGGGAAGGTAGGTCGCTGTGCCTGGCATATCTCTGAAGACTGATTTAACCTATGCACCAGGTGTTACTTTAAGTCGCTATATTTTCTCCTCGGTGTCTCTGGATGTAGGAACTCCCTGCTTTCTCTGTCCTCGGGACCCCAGGCTGGGTCCCGCACACATTCCTCCTTCCCTAGGAACAAAACCCACAACTGTTCCTCCCTAGCAGGTCTCTAAGTCTCCTGATTCCTGAAGCTGCCTCAGGCACCCCCTAGAGGGAGGGAGGCCCCAGAGGCTTTCTTGCCATCCTAGCCCATTCTGAGCCTCAGTTTCCCCCTCTGTAACCTGATCCTAGCACTTGCACAAACGCTGATTCGGAGGTTGGGGGTTGCTGCCTGTGACCTCCCTGAAATATCCTAGACATTTGGGGTACTGAGCATTTCTTTGGGGTTAAATAAAATCTTTACATCTTTTTTTTTTTTTTTTTTTTTTTTTTTTTTTTTTGAGACGGAGTTTCGCTCCTTGTTACCCAGGCTGGAGTGCAATGGCGCGATCTCGGCTCACCGCAACTTCCGCCTCCTGGGTTCAGGCAATTCTCCTGCCTCAGCCTCCTGAGTAGCTGGGATTACAGGCACGCGCCACCATGCCCAGCTAATTTTTTGTATTTTTAGTAGAGACGGGGTTTCACCATGTTGACCAGGTTGGTCTTGATCTCTCGACCTCGTGATCCACCCGCCTCGGCCTCCCAAAGTGCTGGGATTACAGGCTTGAGCCACCGCGCCCGGCAAAATCTTTACATCTTAAGACATTTGACTGACCAAATTGAGCTTCCGACCCGTTTCGCGGATGGGGAAACTGAGGCGCAGAGCGGTCCTATTGCCCGGCTCAAAGTCACCCTCTGGGCACCCAATGTTAGCCAGCGGCGCCCCCTGGTGGCGAGCATGGGCGACAGGCGGGGCGCGCCTGCCGGGAGTTGCTGGGTGGGTCGCAGGGCCGCATCCCCCCGCCCCGACGCTCCCACCTACCGCACCTCGCCCGGAACAGCTCGTCCTGCTGGTGGGCGGCACCGTGCTCGAGCCCCGGGTTCGATCCCCGCCTCCCGAAGCCTCCGTATCCGCCCCTCCCCTCTGCCGCCCTCCTCGCGTGCCTGAAAATTTATACAAGACACAGGCGTCATCACAGCCGCCCTCGGCTTCCAGAGCAGCTGGCTTCGTCGGTAAATATTATAACCACTCCGAATTCATCCTAATCACAGTTAATGATAAAATTCCACATTGCCAGAACTAAAAGCCATCCGGGATCACGAACTTGGTGTGTTTCCTTCCAGACGTTAGACGGCAGAGATTTGGGGATTTGTTGTTGTTTGTTTCAAGATCCCCGCCTCCACTCCTCTTACAAAGTAATACAGGTTCGCCGTAGAAAATTTGGAAAAAACTGAAAATGTATAAAGAAGGAAATAAAATTATGTTATAACCACCCATAGATTATCCACTTTTGACTTATCTTCTTTTGTTTTTTTTTCTCCATCCGTTATAAGATATTCATATTACTTTTCTTTTCTCTCCTCCTCCTCCCCCTCCCCCTCCTCCTTCTCCTCCTCCTTCTTTTTGAGACGGAGTCTTGCTTTGTCGCCCAGGCTGCAGTGCAATGGCGCGATCTTGGCTCACTGTAACCTCCACCTCCCAGGTTAAAGATTTTCCCGCCTCAGCCTCCGGAGTAGCTGAGATTACAAGTGCCTGTCACCACGCCCAGCTAATTTTTGTGTTTTTGGGAGAGACGGGGTTTCACCGTGTTGGTAATGCTGGTCTCAAACTCCTGACCTTGTGATCCAGCCACCTCGGCCTCCCAAAGTGCTGGGATTGCAGGTGTGAGCCACCGCACCTGGTCTCGTCTCTTTCCTTTTCTTTCTTCTTTCTTTCTTTTTTTTGTCAGAGTCTCACTCTGTCGCTCAGGCTGCAGTGCAGTGGCGTGATCTCAGCTCACTGCAACCTCCACCTCCCTGGTTCAAGTGACTCTTCCGCCTCAGCCTCCCGAGTAGCTGGGACTTCAGGTGTGTACCACCACATACCGCTAGGATTTCACCATGTTGCCTAGGCTGGTCTCGAATTCGTGGCCTCAAGAGATCCACCCGCCTCGGCCTCCCAAAGTGTTGGGATTACAGGCGTGAGCCACCAGCCACGCCTGACCCGTGTGTGTGTGTGTGTGTGTGTGTGTGTGTGTGTGTGTGTGACAGTGTTTCCCTCTGTCACCCGGGCTGGAGATCAGTGATGGCACGATCTCATCTCACTGCAGCCTCTGCCTCTCTGATTCTTTTGATTCTCATGCCTCGCCTCCTCAGCAGCCTCCCGGGGCAGGCACCACCACACCCAGCTAATTTTTGTATTTTCAGTAGAGATGGGGTTTCGCCATGTTGGCTAGGCTGGTCTTGAACTCCTGACCTGAAGGTCAAGGAGTGATCCTCCTGCCTCAGCCTCCCAAAGTGCTGGGATTACAGGTGTGAGCCACTGCATCTGGCCAAATTTTTATTTTTATTTGTGTAGTGCAGAAGTCGGGCATGGCCTCAGGGAGGCCTCTAGACTTCCCTCTGAGTGGGGCCAGCAGGGAAGCACAGCCCCTTCTCCCACTGGCTCTGTGTCCCCTGCCACACAGAAAATGCCCCAAGCCCACAGCCCCTCCTCTAGCTCATCCATTTCTAATCCCAGAGCCCAATGCTGCTCTGGACAATCAAGGGCTTGCATTCTTCTTTAATTTAAATTAAATATATATATATTTTTTTGAGATGGAGTTTCGCTCTTGTTACCCAGGCTGGAGTGCAATGGCGCGATCTCGGCTCACCGCAACCTCCGCCTCCCAGGTTCAGACAAATCTCCTGCCTCAGCCTCCTGAGTAGCTGGGATTACAGGCACGCGCCACCATGCCCAGCTAATTTTTTGTATTTTTAGTAGAGACGGGGTTTCACCATGTTGACCAGGTTGGTCTCGATCTCTCGACCTCGTGATCCACCCGCCTCGGCCTCCCAAAGTGCTGGGATTACAGGCGTGAGCCACCGCGCCCGGCCTGTTTTTCTTTTTTTTTTTTTTTAGACGTGGTCTTGCTCTGGTGCCATGGTGCGATCTTGGCTCACTGCAACCTCCACCTCCTGGGTTCAAGCGATTCTCCTTAGCCTCCCATGTAGCTGGCATTACAGGCGACTGCCACCATGCCCGGCTAATTTTTGTATTTTTAGTAGAAACGGGGTTTCACCATGTTGGCCAGGCTGGTCTCGAACTCCTAACCTCAGGTGATCCAACCGCCTCGGCCTCCCAAAGTGCTGGAATTACAGGTGTGAGCCACGGCGCCCGGCCAAGTAATTAGTTTTGAGACAGGGTCTCACTCTGACGTCCAGGCTGGAGTGCAGTGAGTGGCGCGATACGGTTTCCTACAGCCTCGACCTCCTGGGCTCAAGGGATCCTCCTACCTCGGGCTGGGGAGTCGCTGGAACCACAGGCACGCACCGCCACACCCAGCTAATTTTAAAATGGTTTTGTAGCGATGGGGCCTCCCTATGTTACCCAGGCTGGTCTCCAATTCCTGGGCTCCAGCGATCCTCCCGCCTTGGTCCCCCAAAATGGTGGGAGTCCAGGCGTGAGCCGCCGTCCCCGGCTATTTTTACTTGAAAATACTAAGTCAGTGACAGAAGCTTCTGCACGTTCTCGTGGCTGACTTTTCCCTTCCTGGGAAAAAAAGGCAGGAGGTATTTCTGAGAGCGCCACCCATGTAGGAAGCGTGCCTTTGGGCGATCGGGGTGGGGGGTGCCGAGCAGCCTAAAACCTCCTCCCCTCCAAGGGGGCCGCAGACCGAGCCTGGACCCTCTCCCCGGGAGCCCCCCCACAGAGCGCGGAACTGGACTGGGGGTGTCCGCGTGGGCGCGAGGGCGGGGAGGATGGGCGGTGGATTTCTTTTTATTTTATTTTTTGTTTTTCTCAACGTTCCCGGTTTCTCCGCAGTGGATTCGTGATACTTTTATACGCAGTCCTAGTGGTGGGGGTGGGAGGTGGGGAAGGGAGCAATATGTTACCCTAAAAAGAAAACAAAAATTTCCCAAATGCAAATGGAGAGGGGACGGGAAGGGGGGGGTGGGAGGGGCGCCCCAGTACTTCCAGGGTGCAGGGGGCGGGCTGGGGACCGGGTTGGCGGCGGCTGGGCCTCGAGGCGCTAAGTTATTCTGGTCTCTCAGCGCCTCCGCAGCTGGCGAGCTTTTTATAAACAGGAACGAGTTTCCCCCCCAACCCCAACTCCGGCCCCGCCTACCGTGCGGGAGGAGGGGGAGAATCTAGAGGATCAGGACTCTTCCGGGGGCCACACAGGCCTGGAGGGTTTGAAAACTGGAGTGGGGGGCGCAGGAGCCCCGGAATGGGGGCGCTGGGGTTTCGGGCTCCTCTCCCCTCCCCGCATTCTGAGTTTTTCCCTTGAAGATTTGGAGGAAAAATACACACGGAGGAGCATCTTAGCTCCCAAAAGGCTCCATTCTCTGGGGTTTGCTTTCCCAGGATGGAGGGAGGGGCTCTTCCAGGCCCCGGGTCTTTGGACCTGAGCATTGAAGGGCTGGAGGCTTCCCGGGGCATTTACCGCAGGCTTTAAGGGGTTTCCTGGACAGGTCGCTTCTCCTTCCCTACTAAACGTTTTTTTTCGAATCTTCCCCTTGATGACGGGGCGCAGGGAGGGGAGGGGGTTCCCAGAGAGTCCATCTGCTCTTTGCTCCTTTTCTGGGAATGCTGGAGAGGGGTCTCTCTCTTGACCTCTACTTCTTCTATTTTTTTTAAAACCTCAGACACAGGGGAGGGGTGGAGTCTTCACTAGCCCCGCCCTCTTTGGGGGGTCTCACGCCTCGGCAATGGGACAGGGGCCCCCCCTTGATCCCTGGTTATTCTTTCGTATTTATGTTGAACTCCATATATGTGAGGGCATAGAACATCTCTTGGGCCTCGGTTGTTCTTTTCCGCAATTGGGAGTCGGGGGCATTTAACAGAGGTCACGGCACCTTGGACTAGACTGCGGCCTCGAGTCCCCTGGACCTGGGGTGGGCGCGGGCCGGGAAGGGAACCGCCCCTCGAAGACCCGGGCTCAGCCAAGGCCTCAGCCTCTCGGCCCTTCAATCGCCCAGAAGCCACCATTGGACAGGAGGAGGGAGCATACAGTCGCTGATTGGCTAGTCGGCCCGTCGCTCGAGGGCTTAAGCCTCCCCGAGGCGGAGTCGGCCCCCGCGCCGCTCCCACCCCTGGTGAATACGCACGCTAGGCCCGCCCCACTGGCGCGTCAATCTTCTCGGGAGCCCCGCCCCATCTGGCTCTGCGTGCGTCAATGGGCCACCGCTCTGCGCGCGGCTCCGCCTCCGGATGGCGTCACGAATTTAACTGCATGTGAGGCCCCGCCCCTCCCTTTGCAGGACGTCACCGAGGACTGCAGGGGCCTGAGCCGCTGCCGCCGCCGCGCAGCCCCACATCACCGCACAGGGGGCCCCGTCACCGCCACCGCCAGAAAAGCCACCGCCGCTAGGGTCGCCGTTGCATCGGTGCAGGGCAAGGTGAGCTCCTGGGCGGCCGGGTGTGCAGCGGCTCCGAGCACCTGCATAACCTTCATTTGACTGACGGGCTGGTGGAGGTGCGGGACGAGGTTGGCCGGCGTTGAATGGGGGGAAGGATGCGGCGGTCGCGAGGCTGGGAATGGGTAGGGCCCGGGCGCCCCGCTCCTGCCTGATTCTCATGACTACCCCCCCAACCCCCCTGCTCTGCGGCGGAGGGGGAGGGGAGGCAAGCGCCTTGCGAGAAGCTGTGCGCGCGGGAGGCTCTTGCGTGCGCGTGCGCGTGGTGTGCACACGCGTGTGCGCGCCCGCCTGTGTCAGCGGGTCTGTGTGTACCCTTGCGTGTGTACCTGGATATGCTCGTGTGACCCCCACGGGCCTACGTGTGTGCATGTTGCACGCGTGTGGAGAAAGATGTAAAGATGTGTGAACCGCCTGTGCATGCGTGTCTCTGCATGCAAGCACGGGGATCCGTGTCCCTGTGGGTGATGTGCACACGCCTGCATGTGTGGAGGGGCCTGTGCGCACGGGTGATTTGCACATTTTTATAGGCGAATCGGTGTGCAAGCAGGTGTCTGTGTCTTTGTCCTGTGCACCCCAGTGCGTTTACACACTCCTGTATGTGCGGACGAGCGTGTTTGAGGCTGTGTGCACGTGAGCGTGTGCATGCCCCGCCTGTATCATATGATTCGGCAGCCTTGGCCGGAGCTCTCTGGCCTGGAGGTTTGGGGAGAGAGGTGGCTGCAGATGCGCGTCCTCCAGGGGCCATGCGCGCGTGTGCACGTGCGGCTGCGAGGCCGTGTTCTGAGACCATGAAAGATTGATAGGGGGCGGGGCCAGCCGCAGTCACCCACTCTGGGCTCAGCCCTGGGTTTAGGGTTACAGCCCCACCCGGGGCACAGGCCTCTTGGAAGGCTGGGGTGTCCCCATCCGCGACCCTCTTAGCCCCTCTTCTGAAACGTTCAGGATTTCAAGGTCACAGGCTGCCCTCTGCTGGGGGCACCATCAATGAATACTGAGGCTCCTGATGGGATAAGTGTGGTCTCCATACACCGGCCCCTTTCTGGAGCTCTCCCCATCCTCTGCCTGGGCTTGGACACATGAGGATGGAGGGTGCCCCCCTCACGGCTCTGCTATACCCGGTATCCCCAGATGGCATCCGCCACAGACTCGCGCTATGGGCAGAAGGAGTCCTCGGACCAGAACTTCGACTACATGTTCAAGATTCTCATCATCGGCAACAGCAGCGTGGGCAAGACGTCCTTCCTCTTCCGCTACGCCGACGACTCGTTCACCCCTGCCTTCGTCAGCACCGTGGGCATCGACTTCAAGGTCAAAACCATCTATCGAAATGACAAGAGGATCAAGCTGCAGATCTGGGTGGGTCCCAGCTGGAGGGCTCCCTCCCGGCTCGCTCAGGTTCCCATCTTTGGAAAAGCAGCCCTAACCTCATCTATCTGTTTCCTGGCTGGAGTCACTTCCACACTGAGCATTTATCAAGTACTATGTGCCAGCGGCAGACACAGACAGCACCTCTGTTCTCCCATAAGTGCCTAACCCTGGTGCCTCGGTTTCCCCATCTTCAGGTTCTTCCATGTATGAGGTTTCAGGTGGACCTTGGTCCCCATTCTCTTTTTTTGTTTGAGATGGAGTATCACTCTGCCTCACAAGCGGCGGTGTGGTGGCGTGATCTCGACTCACTGCAATCTCTGCCACCCGGGTTCAAGGATTCTCCTGCCTCAGCCTCCCAAGTAGCTGGGATTACAGGGGCCTGCCACCGTGCCTGGCTAATTTTTGTAGTTTTTAGTAGAGATGGGGTTTCACCATGTTGGCCAGGCTGGTCTTGAACTCCTGACCTCGTGATCCACCTGCCTCGGCCTCCCAAAGTGCTGGGATTATAGGAGTGAGCCACTGAGCCCAGGCAACTTCATCACCATTCTCTTTGTTTTTTTTGAGACAGGGTGATCTTGCTCTGTCACCCAGGCTGGATTGCAGCCGCATGATCATGGCTCTCTGCAGCCTCGACTTCCTGGGCTCAAGCCATTCCTCCACTTAAGCCTCCCAAGTAGCTGGAATTATAAGCTTGCACCACTACACCTACTAAGTTTTTTTCTTTTTTGTAGAGACAGGGTCTGGCTATGTCTGCCCAGGCTGGTCTTGAATTCCTGGGTTCAAGCGATCCTCCCACCTCAGCCTCTCCTGCTGGGGTTATAGGCATGAGCCATCCCACCTGGCCTTGTTAGTTTCAACAGACAGAGCCTCACTCTGTTGCCCAGGCTGGATTTGAACTGGGCTCAAGTGATCCTCCTGCCTCAGCTTCCCAAGTAGTTGGGAGTACAGGCGTGTGCCCCTGAGTCCGGCTTCCTTTGGTTTTTTTTTTTTTTTTTTTTTTTGAGATGGAGTTTCACTCGTTACCCAGGCTGGAGTGCAATGGCGCAATCTCGGCTCACCGCAACCTCTGCCTCCTGGGCTCAGGCAATTCTCCTGCCTCAGCCTCCTGAGTAGCTGGGATTACAGGCACGCGCCACCATGCCCAGCTAATTTCCTTTAGTTTTTAAACCTACAGTTCTATTCTCTCCATCTTTGTCTGGCTTGATTTTTCTCCTTGGTCCTTGTCACCCTCCAACATAGGAGCTACATTTACACTGTTATTTTCTGTTTCTAGCACTGGGGTGTCGCTTAGCAAGGCAGGGATTTCTGCCCATTTGTTAACAACTGTGTCCTCAGTGTCCGGTTCAGGGTGTGGCAAAGATCATCGTCCTGTCCATGTTTGTTTATTTTTTATTTTTTTTTGAGACAGAGTCTCATTCTGTCACCCAGGCTGGAGTGTAATGGTGCGCTCTTGGCTCACCACAACCTCCGCCTCCCGGGTTCAAGTGATTCTTCTGCCTCAGCCTCCCAAGTAGCTGGGATTGCAGGGGGGCACCACCACGCCCGGCGGGGTTTCACCATGTTGGTCAGGCTGGTCTCGAACCCCTGACTTCGTGATCTGCCCACCTCAGCCTCCCAAAGTGCTGATATTACAGGTGTGAGCCACCGTGCCTGGCCCCGTTTGTTTTTTTGAGACAGGGTTTCACTCTGTGGCCCAGGCTGAACTGCAATAGCGTGATCTCACCTCACTGCAACCTCTGCCTCCTGGGCTCAAGCCACCATCTTACCTGAGCCTCCTGAGTATTGGGACTACAGCTGTGAGCCACCATGCTGCATTCATTTTTATATTTTTTTGTAGAGATGGGGGTCTCGCTATGTTGCCCAGGCTGGTCTGGAACTCCTGGGTTCAAGCCATCTGCCCATCTCAGCCTCCCATCATACTGGGATTACAGGTGTGAGCCACAGCACCCGGCGTGGGACATGTGTGTCGAATGACTCTGTGGGATGATGGAGCACTCATGTACTCTGAGCACTGTGACCCAACCTGCTCTTCCTGACACTTTGTGCTTCTGAGCAAGCTCTTACTTCTCCCAGGGGGCTGAACTGGGTGATATCAGAGCTCATTTCCTCTCTGAGGGCCTGATGTGTGGGTCCTCTCTGACCTTCATCTCTTCCTCTCTAGGACACAGCAGGGCAAGAGCGATACCGGACCATCACCACCGCCTACTACAGGGGCGCTATGGGCTTCATCCTCATGTATGACATCACCAATGAAGAATCCTTCAATGCTGTCCAGGACTGGTGAGTGTACCCGCGCTCACTCTTTTTTTTTTTTTTTTTTTTTTTTGAGAGAGAGTCTTACCCTGTCACCCAGACTGGAGTCCAGCGGCACGATCAGGGCTCACTGCAGCCTCGACCTCCTGGGCTCAAGTAATTCTCCTGCCTCAGCCTTCCAAGCAGCTGGGACTATAGGTGCACACCACCACACCTGGCTAAGTTTTTGTATTTTGAGTTGAGATGGGGTTTTGTCATCTTGCCCAGGCTGGTCTTGAACTCCTTGGCTCAAGTGATCTGCCTGCCTCAGCCTCCTAAAGTGCTGGGATTACAGGCATGAGCCATTGCTCCTGGCCTTCCACACTCATTCTGGGACCATGGTCTCTGAGACAAAGTTGCTTAAAAAAAAAAAAGGCCAGGCGTGGTGGCTCATGTTTGTAATCCCAGCGCTTTGGGAGGCCGAGGCGGGGCAGATCACAAGGTCAGGAGTTCCAGACCAACCTGGTCAACATAGTGAAACTCTGTCTCTACTAATAGTACAAAAAAATAGCCGGGTGTGGTGGGGGGGTGGGCGCCTGTCATCCCAGCTACTTGGGAGGCTGAGGCAGGAGAATCGCTTGAACACCCAGGAGGCGGAGGTTGCACTGAGCCAAGATTGTGCCATTGCACTCCAACCTGGGTGACAGAGTGAGACTCTGTCTCTAAAAAATAATCAATCAATCAATAAATAAAAGATAGGGGTCAGGGAAGGATTTCAGATAGAAAAGTAAAACTGTAAACATACAGAAAAAAATATAGCTGCAAGTGTCGGGTGGAGACAGAAACTTTAAGGAGAGCTGGCGTAGGTGAGAGTGGCAAACATTGCCATTTTCTGCTCAGAAGTAAAAACTCTTTAAAAAAAGAGTTCTGGGCCGGGCACGGTGGCTCAAGCCTGTAATCCCAGCACTTTGGGAGGCTGAGGCGGGCGGATCACAAGGTCAAGAGATTGAGACCATCCTGGTCAACATGGTGAAACCCCGTCTCTACTAAAAATACAAAAAATTAGCTGGGCATGGTGGCGCGTGCCTGTAATCCCAGCTACTCGGGATGCTGAGGCAGGAGAATTGCCTGAACCCAGGAGGCGGAGGTTGCGGTGAGCCGAGATCGCGCCATTGCACTCCAGCCTGGGTAACAAGAGCGAAACTCCGTCTCACAAAAACAAAAACAAAAACAAAAACAAAAGAGTTCTGGGCCGGGCGTGGTGGCTCAAGCCTGTAATCCCAGCACTTTGGGAGGCTGAGGCGGGTGGATCACGAGGTCGAGAGATCAAGACCATCCTGGTCAACATGGTGAAACCCCGTCTCTACTAAAAGTACAAAAAATTAGCTGGGCATGGTGGCACGTGCCTGTAACTCCAGCTACTCAGGAGGCTGAGGCAGGAGAATTGCCTGAACCCAGGAGGCGGAGGTTGCGGTGAGCCGAGATCGTGCCATTGCACTCCAGCCTGGGTAACAAGAGCGAAACTCCGTCTCAAAAAAAAAAAAAAAAAAAAAAAAAAGAGTTCTGGGCCAGGCACAGTGGCTCATGCCTGTAATCCTAGCACTTTGGGAGGCCGAGGTGGACAGATCTTGAGCTCAGGAGTTCGAGACCATCCTGGCTAACATGCTGAAACCCGCCTCTACGAAAAACACAAAAGATTACCCAGGCGTGGTGGCTCATACCTGTAGTCCCAGCTACTTGGGAGGCTGAGGCAGGAGAATCACTTGAACCTAGGAAGTGGAGGTTGCAGTGAGCCGAGATGGCGCCACTGCACTCCAGCCTGGGTGACAGAGTGAGACTCCATCTCAAAAAAAGAGAAGATTTCCTGTGTGTACCTATGCGACAATCTTACATGTTCTTCACATGTACCCCAAAACCTAAAATGCAATTTAAAAAAAATTGGCAGAAAAAAAAAAAAAGATTTCTGGGCTGGGTGGCTCATGCCTATAATTCCAGCACTTTGAGAGGTCAAGGCAAGTGGATTACTGGAGCTCAGGAGTTCGAGACCAGCCTGGGCAACATAGCAAGACCCTGTCTCTACAATTAAAAAAAAAAAAAAAAAGGAAAGAAAAGAAAACGGGGCTTTCTCACTGGGTGTAGTGGCATATGCTGGTAATCTCAGCTATTCAGGAGACTGAGGTGGGTGAGCATTGCTTGCGTACAGTTCAAGACCAGCCTGGGTAACAGAATCAGGCTGTCTCCAAAAAAAGGCAGGTAACTTTTCTGGAATAAACACCCAGAGGGAGGAAAGAGCATATGAGGAGTTCTTGGGAGATGCGGGAAGCTGGCATTTCCAGGAAGGCTCCCTGGAGGAGGCAGCAGTATTGCCAGAGAGAGGAAAAGTGTGTTACTGGCAGGATACAGGCTACGATGAAGGATGGAGCCTGCCATGTTCAATAATGGGTCAGTTGGGCCGGGTGCAGTGGCTCACGCCTGTCATCCCAGCACTTTGGGAGGATGAAGTGGATCACTTGAGGTCAGGAGTTCGAGACCAGCCTGGCCAGCATGGTAAAACCCTATTTCTGCTAAAAATACAAAAATTAGCCAGGAGTGGTGGCGTACACCTGTAATCCCAGCTACTCGGGAGGCCGACACAAGAACCACTTGAAGTCAGGAGGCGGAGGTTGCAGTGAGCCGAGATTGCGCCACTGCACTCCAGCCTGGGCATCAGAGCCAGACTCCATCTCAGAGGAAAAAACCCATAACACGGCTGGGTGCGGTGGCTCACGCCTGTCATCCCAGCACTTGGGGAGGCTGAGGCTGGGGGATCACGAGGTCAGGAGATCAGGATCATCCTGGCTAGCATGGTGAAACCCCGTCTCTACTAAAGATAGCAAAAAATCAGCCAGGCATGGTATGCACCCCTGTAGTCCCAGCTGCCTGGGAGACTGAGGCAGGAGAATCACTTGAACCCGGGAGGCAGAGGTTGCAGTCAGCCGGGATTGTGCCATTGCACTCCAGCCTGGGCAACAAGAGAGAGAATCCATCTCAAATAAACCCCAAACGCACAATCATGGGTCGATTGGGGGCTGGAGTGGGGTGAACGAGGGGCACGGGGTCGGGAGGATGGAGGGCCAAGCTTCAGGGTCTTGGGACAAGGATACAGGCTCCACACCAGCCCGTTGAGGGTGGAGCTGGGATCCTGGACGCCCTAACCTGTCCCCATCGCTGCCTCCTGCAGGTCCACCCAGATCAAGACCTACTCGTGGGACAACGCGCAGGTGCTGCTGGTGGGAAACAAGTGTGACATGGAGGATGAGCGGGTGGTGTCGTCAGAACGTGGCCGGCAGCTCGCTGACCACCTTGGTGAGTGCCCGGCCGGGCCGGAGACCCACAAGGCTAGAAAAAGGATACTGAGGTCCAGAGAGGGGAGGGCATGCACCCAAGGTCTTACAGCTAAGCCAGGTCATTCATTCACACGTTCTGCAGACTTGCCTTCATCCAGGGGCTATTTGAGCTGGATCCTGAGGGCTGTGTAGGAGTTCACTGTGCAGAAAGTCACAGATTTATTCTGATACTCACCATCCAACGCTTTGTTGGGTATTGCTGGGCTTGAGAGGCAGGTAGGGGTGCCTCGAGGGACCTCTGGGGTGGAGGGAGGGACCCGGGCAGGAGGAGCCCATGGTAGGAGCCAGGCTTCCTGGAGAGGCGGGCAGTGGACTCTAGTGCTTGGAAGAAAGGTGTTTTCGGCAGAAGAAACAGCTTGGGTAAAGGCTTGTGGTGAGAAAGATCCTGTGTGTTTTGGTAAGTTTCACATGACTGGAACATGAGGATCAGCTGGAGGAAATGTGGCTGATGACAGAGGGCCTCAACCATGCGCTGAGAGGCTGGGACTCTTTGGAGGGCAATAGGGAGCCACAGAGGGTGTGTGAGCCGGGGGAGGTCACGTCTGGATCTGAGTGTCAGAGGCTTCCAGGCCCAGTGCATGGGGCTGGCCATGTCTTGCCAGGTCCCTAAGGACAGTGAGACACAATTTTAGGAAGGAAGGGCAGGAAGCCCGCTGCGGTAGCTCACGCCTGTAATCCCAGCACTTTAGGAGCTGAGGGGGAGGATCACTTGAGCCCTCAAGACTGCAGTGAGCTATGATCACGCCACCAGACTCCATCCTCGGCAACAGAGTAAGGCCCTGTCTCAAAAAAAAAAAAAAAAAAAAAAAGGAAATGCAGTCGACCCAGTTCAATGTGGCTTCCCTGCAGGACTTGTCAGTACCTTCAATAAGCGGCTTGGCACAAGGCTCTCCAGGTGTTCCCTTTCCTCAGAGAGGCATCTCTAGGAGTTGGCGTGGGGCGTGGCCAGGATCCTCATCCCTGCCTTCCCTGACCACAGGGTTCGAGTTCTTTGAAGCAAGCGCCAAGGACAACATTAACGTCAAGCAGACCTTTGAGCGCCTGGTGGACGTCATCTGTGAGAAGATGTCAGAGTCTTTGGACACTGCGGACCCTGCAGTCACAGGCGCCAAGCAGGGCCCGCAGCTCAGTGACCAGCAGGTGCCGCCGCACCAGGACTGCGCCTGCTGAGAGCCCCTCCGCCCCCTTGCCCCTCTTCCCTACCTCCCCCACCTTCCCCACCTCCCCAGGCCTGACCCGGCCCCCACCAGCCACGGGCACAAGACCCCCACTCCCAACTTAGCCCGCTGCCCTTATTTATTATTGTAGCTATTTATTTATTGAAGACGTCCCGCAGGGGCCCGGGCTCCCCTGCCCGACCCCAGCCCTGCCCGTCCTGTACATATAACCCTTTCCCCGCTCAGCCACTGTGGTGTGTCGTGGCCTCGTGAACTCACCCCTCCCCCTCCTGACACCCCCCCCACCTTTTTTTTAAATTCACCCCCATCCACAGTTGTCGGTTGTGAAGAGGGGGCCAGATGACACCCTATAGCAGGCTGATCGGGCGATGGGAGGTGGCCAGGCCTGCCAGCCCCTCGGCTCTGCTGCGGTGGGCCGAGGCCGCTGTTGGGGGGTTCCCTGTGCGGACCATGGGGGTCAGAGTCTGGCCTGCCAGGCTCCTCTCCCTCAAGGTTTTTCTTTTGGTGGGGGGTGTGCTGTGGGTATTCACTGCCCTGGGACCCCCCTGCCCACCAGACCTGTTCTGACCTCATGAGTGTCAAACGTGCCCCCAGCTCCTTAGGAGACATCATGAAACACTACATACATCCAATAAAGCGAATGGACCACGCGTGTCCCTGTGAGCACCGGGCCCTGCCCACCCTGGCTTTGATCATCCACAACATTCGCTTTTGTTACTTTTATTTGTAAATATAAATAGAGACAGGGTCTTGCTATGTTGCCCAGGCTGGTCTCCAACTCCTGGCCTCAAGCGATGCTTCCACCTCAGCCTCCCAAAGGGCTGAGATTTCAGGTGTGAGCCACTGCACCCAGCCAGCAGTTTCAATTACACGACAGAAAGAATTAAGATTGTCTACAGCTCACGACCAGGGAAGAAACTCAGAGGCTTCCCGGCCCTGCCTGAAACTTTTGGGGGCCAACTCCAGGCCTGAGCCTGCTCTGAGGGGATGGGCCACATCGCCCCCTTGGTCGCAGGACCTGAGGCAGCTCCGGATTGGCGGCTTGGCCCAGAGCCACCGGGACGGCAGTGTTGCCGGGCTGGTGCTCGGGACTGGTTGGCTGGGTGGGCCCCGTGCTGAAGATGGGACATCTTGGTCACAGGTCGCAGGAGGCTCCTGCTGAGAAGGGCTAGGGGATGATCATCCATCTTCACCGGTGTGTTCTAGCTGGGGAAACTGAGTCCCAGAAGTGAGCTTGGAAAGGGCAGCTCAGCCCAGTGCCCGGGAGCTGGAGGGACGCTGGGACGCGGCCCGGGACCCCAGCTTGCTGCGGGGACCCATTCCCCTTCTGGCAGAGCGTGTGGTCCGCCAGGAGGCAGTCTGGCATCCGGTCCCAGGGAGCAGACAGCTCAGTCCGCTCGGGTGTCCAGGGCCACACAGCCTGGGGGTGTCAGGGGAACTGGGCTCTGTCCACACAAGACAAGGCATCCGGTCAGAAGCCTGCTTCATCCCTCCGGGCCCCTCCTGAGCCCTGTCCTCCCCGTCCCTGTATCCCCTGAGCCTGGTATGCCCACCATACTCACCCGGTACTTCAAGTAGGACAGGTATGTGTCCCAGCCCAGCGTCAGGCCATTGATGTAGGTGACTCGGAATTGGGGGGGCACGAAGAGGAAGTTCACCAACTGCGCTGCAGGCCACACGCACCAGTCGGCCTAGGGGAGAGGCGGGGCACGATGAGGGGCGGGGCCAGAGCCGTGAGGGGCGGGGCCAGACGTGCAAGGGGCGGGCGCTCCCACCTTGTAGAATTCCCAGAACTTGTCCCGCAGCTCCTGGAAGCTCTCACCCAGTGTCTGACCCTCCAGGGAGCCAAGGCCTGGGAAGGAAACCAAGAAATGAGAATGTTAGAGGCCAGGAAGTACTGTTGAGATGACAAGAGGGGCTCACGATGGCGGGGTGGCATTGGACCCCTGAGAGCCCCCACCCCAGACAGACAGACAGGGACTTTCAGATGGGATAGACAGAGAATCAAGTGGCTGGTGTAGGGACAAAACAGAGCAAGTCAGTCCCAGTGACAGAGAGGTTATAAACATGCAAACACGTGCCCCAAGGAGACACACCCTGAAGACGAGGCATTTTTATTACTTTTCCATCACAGACCAGGAAGCCAGGCTGGGAGGTGGAGAATGAGCGACTCCTCTATGAATACCGCTGTCTTTACCGAGCCTAGGGCTGGGACGGTTGCACCCCATGGAGTCCAGCCTCAATTCCTCTTCCTTCGGGCATCAGGCCTTTGCATTAGCTGTTCTCTCTGCCCGCCGGTTCCCTCTTCACGTCTCAACTGAGTGTGCCCTCTTTTGGGAAATGCTCTCAGCCTCCCGCCCAGGGCGGCCCCATCAGATACTGTCCTGGTCCCTCCTACACTCGCCAGCGTTCACATCGGCCGGGCCTGTCCTGTCCCCACTGTGACCTGGATCCTAGTTCAGGGCCACCCAAACACGGGGCACATCGGAAAGGCACCTCTGCAACCTTCTTAACCTTCTTAACACAAAGCTGGCCCCACCCCTCCCGACCTATGAGAGGCAGAGCCAAGGGTTAGGAGGCTCCTTACCCAAGAAGTACCAGACGCCCAGCACGGGAGAGGCTACCAGCTGATCCACCAGGACCTTCTTGAGGACATTTGGGAAGCCTCGGAGGCCGGACGCAGGGAATAGGCGGTCCAGCGACAAGTACCAGTAGTGCAGGAAGGGACCCATGCTGCAGCCCACCGCAAACATGCTTGCTATAAGAGTGTAAATCAGGGGGCTGGGTCGGGCCGGGAAATTCCCCAGTCCATTCCCTCCCTCCCTGGCTAAGGCCTGGGTAAGCCCAGTGCCATCCCCGAGCCTCAGCCTCACCGGGAAAACGGGAAGATCCCACCCGTGCATTCTTCCACTACAAGCCCCACCAGCAGGCGCGCCTCCAGAGGCTCCTAGGTAGCGGGCAGAGACCCCCGGGGGTTGGGAGGTGATGGAGTCCCGGGGCTGCGGGAAGACAGAGACCCGGGGAGAGGCGCAGTAAGGGCAAGGGTCCTGCGGGGGACTGAGGCCACGGGTCAGGGGTCACGGCCCGCAGGTCTGGTGTCGGGATCAAAGGTCGCCCGGGGTGAAGGCCTAAGCAGTGTGTCGTCCTCACCTGAGCGCCGCGGGTCGAAAACCTGGCCGGGCCGGGAACGGATCTCCCAGGACTGGCGCACGCCGTCCCCGGCCGCCATAAGGGCGCCGCAGCCCAGCGTGTTGGTGACGAGCAGAGCGCGCCCCTGGAACAGAAGCTGCCCCGCGGACAACAGACGGTGCAGCCGGCGCCAGCTGCCCCGCGCCATCGTCCCCGGAAGTCCAGGAGCCGGCGTGCCGCTCCGTTCCCGCTGCGCGGACCAGTTGCGAGACACCGTCGATCCCAAATTGCCCGCCCCTCCGGCGTCCCGGCCAATCGCATAAGGATCTGCTGTCCGCAGGCCCGCCTCGCGCCGCGCCGCGTAGACCAATCGCAGGCAGCCTCAGAGTGCCACATTGCCCGCCCCAAAGAGTATTGGCCAATAAAAGGCAGGCGTTCTATCCCAAGGTTGATCTCCGAACGAAGCTGTACACGCCCTCCCGAGCTTCACGGACCAATCGGAAAGAGAATTGCGTTACGTCGCGCATGCCGATTGGTAACTTTGTACTCTTGTTGCCTCGCCCCTTTCTGTGCTAGCCTATGGGAAACAGTCGCAGCCCCTTTTACCGACACGCCCAGGACGGCACTGGCCAATCGCAGGCCGGCGTCACGCTGGCAAATCAGTGACTGTCGTCCCGCCTCCCGCGCTGGGGTTGGTCAATCTTAGTTACAGCACCTTCTGGCCTGGTTGCCCTCCGGATTTCCAGATTCTCCTGGACTTAACCGGGAGGGATGCGATCTGTGGCCACTACAACCACCGAGGTGACTCCAATCCTGCAAAAAAAGATTCGTGGAATTTGGGGTGGGGTACAGTTCTGCTGCAGCCCAGCCCAACTGGAGCCCGGCCCAGACGATGACCTTGGGCCTGACCTTAACTGGTCCTCTTACCTCAGTTTCCGGATAGTGATGGTAATTGAAGTGTTAGTCACGGTCTGGGTATACGATGCGCTTTAACTCCTTCCAATCAAATTTGTGCTCTTGCAGAAAAAAATTATATCCTAATTTTACCGTTCCTGAAGGAAAAAAAATTATTTTTTCTTTTCTTTTTATTTTTATTATTTTTATTTTTTTTGAGATGGAGTTTCGCTCTTGTTACCCAGGCTGGAGTGCAATGGCGCGATCTCGGCTCACCGCAGCCTCCGCCTCCTGGGTTCAGGCAATTCTCCTGCCTCAGCCTCCTGAGTAGCTGGGATTACAGGCACGCGCCACCATGCCCAGCTAATTTTTTTGTATTTTTAGTAGAAACGGGGTTTCACCATGTTGACCAGGATGGTCTCGATCTCTTGACCTCGTGATCCACCCGCCTCGGCCTCCCAAAGTGATGGGATTACAGGCTTGAGCCACCGCGCCCGGCCATTTTTTTCTTTTATTCTTTCTTTTTTTTTTTTTTAAAGACGGGGTTTCACCATGTTGGTCAGGCTGGTCTTGAACTCCCGACCTCAGGTGATCCACCCACCTTGGCCTCCAAAGTGCTTGGATTACAGGCGTCAGCCACCACGCCCAGCCTCTTTTTTTTTTTTTTTTTTTTTTTTTTTTTTTTTTTTGAGACAGAGTTTCGCTCTTGTTACCCAGGCTGGAGTGCAATGGCACGATCTCGGCTCACCGCAACCTCCGCCTCCTGGGTTCAAGCAATTCTCCTGCCTCAGCCTCCTGAGTACCTGGGACTACAGGCACGCGCCACCATGCCCAGCTAATTTTTTGTATTTTTAGTAGAGACGGGGTTTCACCACATTGACCAGGATGGTCTCGATCTCTCGACCTCGTGATCCACCCGCCTCAGCCTCCCAAAGTGCTGGGATTACAGGCTTGAGCCACTGCGCCCGGCTCAGCCTCTTTATTTTTTAAAGAAGGGGTTTCACCATGTTGGCCAGGGTGGTCTCGATTCCCTGACCTTGTGATCCACCTGCCTCGGCCTCCCAAAGTGCTTGGATTACAGGCGTGAGCCACCATGCCCAGCCTCTTTATTTTTTAAGACGAGGTTTCGCTTTGTCTCCCAGGCTGGAGTACAGAGCCATGATCTCGGCTCACTGCAATCTCTGCCTCCCAGATTCAAGCGATTCTCCTGTCCCAGCCTCCCAAGTAGCTGGGACTACAGACACGTGCCACTGCGCCCAGCTAATTTTTTGTATTTTTAGTAGAGACGAGGTTTCACCGGGTTAACCAGGATGGTCTCGATCTCCTAACCTTGTGATCCGCCCGCCTCGGCCTCCCAAAGTGCTGGGATTATAGGCATGAACCACAGCACCTGGCCCCTTTTTTTTTTTTAAATGGAATCTCACTCTGTAACCCAGGCTGGAGTGGAATGGCCCGATCTCCGCTCACTGCAACCTCAGCCTCCCAGGTTCAAGTGATTCTCATGCCTCAGCCTCCCAAGCAGCTGGGATTACAGGCATGCGCCACCACGCCCAGCTAATTTTGTGGTTTTGGACTAGACAGGGTTTCACCATGTTAGCCAGGCTGGTCTCAAACTCCTGACCTCAAGTGATCCACCCACCTCAGCCTCTCAAAGTGCTTGGATGGCAGACGTGAGCCACCAGACCTGGCCTGAAAAATAATTTTCAGTAAGTCACAAACTACTGCCTGTGGGCTGTTACCTGTTGAAGGTGTCCTGGTTCTTCGCATCTTGAACAAATAATTGGACAAAGCTCACAGACAAAGCAAGGAAAGACTAAATGTTAACAAAAGCAGAGATTTGTTGCAAATGAAAGTACACTCCACAGGGTGGGAGCCAGCAGAGGACAGGGGCTCACGCCTGTAATCCCAGCACTTTGGGAGGCCGAGGCCTGCGGATCACCTGAGGACAGACGTTCAAGACCAAACCTGGCCAATGTGGCGGAACCCCGACACTACTAAAAATACAAAATTCAGCCGATGCGGTGGCCCACACCTGTAATCCCAGCTACTCAGGAGGCTGAGGCACGAGAATGTTTTGAACCAGAGAGTGGAGGTTACAGTGAGCAGAGATGGCTCCAGCCTGGGTGACAGAGTAAGACTCTGTCTCAAAGGAAAAAAAAAGAGAGAGAGACTGTGCCTAGGGCAGTGGTCACTCATACTTGGCTCAGAATTTACCTCTTTTTTACAGTTTCATTCTTTTTGTCAACAAATGCCACGATCGTGTTTCAATAAAGTTTTACTTATGAACACAGAAATTTGCATTTTTTTTCCTTTTTTTCCTTTATTATTATTTTTCTTTTTTCTTTTTTTTTTTTTTTTTGAGACGGAGTTTCGCTCTTGTTACCCAGGCTGGAGTGCAATGGCGGGATCTCGGCTCACCGCAACCTCTGCCTCCTGGGTTCAGGCAATTCTCCTGCCTCAGCCTCCTGAGTAGCTGGGATTACAGGCACGCGCCACCACGCCCAGCTAATTTTTTTTGTATTTTTAGTAGAGACGGGGTTTCACCATGTTGACCAGGATGGTCTCGATCTCTCGACCTCGTGATCCACCCGCCTCGGCCTCCCACAGTGCTGGGATAACAGGCCTGAGCCACCGCGCCTGGCCTCATAGCTGTAAATTTTAAATGAAAACTCTAAGAGCCATGATTGCACCGTCTATGTTTATATATTTATTTTATAGGTAGGTAACACTTTCTCCCTCGTGATGGAATTCCTAAAGATCAACTTGTAAAGGAGCTCTATTTCATTAGCTTTAGAAAACCACAGGCGCTTATGTGAATTAAGACTAGTCAAACAGGCTTATGCTATCTTTAGATGTGGAGGGTGGTAAAAGTGTAAACTATGAAACTATAAATTAAATGTAATAACACCACATGCAATAAAAGTGAATTTCTTGGCTGGGCGGTACTCAGCGCTGTCATCCAGCACTTTGGAAGGCTGATTGGAGGTGGATCATTAGAGGCCAGGAGTTCAAGAACAGCCTGGGGAGTCGGGCAGGTGGATCGCGAGGTCAGGAGTTCAAGACCAGCCTGGCCAACATGGTGAAACCCCGTCTCTACTAAAAATACAAAAATTAGCCAGGCGTGGTGGCGGGCACCTGTAATTCCAGCTACTCGGGAGGCTGAGGCAGGAGAATCGCTTGAACCTGGGAGGCGGAGGTTGCAGTGAGCCAAGATTGTGCCACTGTACTCTATCCTTGGTGACAGAGCAAGACTCTGTCTCAAAACACACACACACACACACACACACGAATTTACCATGCATGGTGGCTCGCACCTGTAGTCCCAGCTAATCGGGAGGCTGAGCAGGGAGGATCACCTGAGCCCTGGAGACAGAGGTTGCAGTGAGCTGTGATGTCACCCCACTGCACTCCAGTCTGGGTGACAAAGTGAGACCCTGTCTGAAAAAATAAAATAAAATAAAGGTTACTCGCTTAATGAATGTCAAGTCTGACAATAAATTAATTTTTTAAAAAGTAAAGGAGAGACCCACAAGTGGGTTTTTTTCTGGCTTGCTTGGATGGTTATTTTTGAGACACGGTGTTATTTTGTCACCCAGGCTGAAGTGCAGTGGCGCGATCTCGGCTCACTGCAGCCTCTGCCTCCCAGGTTCAAGTGATTCTCGTGCTTCAACATCCCGAGTACCTACGATTACAGGCATGAGCCACCATGCCCTGCTATTTTTTTTTTTTTTTTTTTTTTAGAGGCGGAGTTTCACCATGTTAGCCAGGCTGGTCTTGAACTCCTAGCCTCAAGTGATCTGCCCCCGTTGGTCTCCCAAAATGCTGGGATTACAGGCGTGAGCCACTGCACCCGGCCTTTTTTTTTTTTTTTTTTTTTTTTTGAGATGGAGTTTTGCTCTTGTTACCCAGGCTGGAGTGCTGTGGTACAATAATCTCAGCTCACTGAAACCTCCACCTCCTGGGTTCAAGCAATTCTCCTGCCTCAGCCTCCAGAGAAGCTGGGATTACAAGCATGTGCCAGCATGCCCAGCTAATTTTGTATTTTTAGTAGAGACGGGGCTTCTCCATGTTGGTCAGGCTGGTCTCAAACTCCCGACCTCAGGTGATCCACCCGCTTTGGCCTCCCAAAGTGCTGGGATTATAGATGTGAGCCAATGTGCCCGGCCAATGTTTGTATTTTATATAGAGATGGGGTCTCACTATGTTGGCCAGGCTGGTCTTGAACTCCTGACCTCCAGTAATCCTTCCACCTTGGCCTCCCAAAGTGCTGGGATTACAGGCCTGAGCGTGGTGCCAGGCCCCATATGTTTAATTTTTTAGGTTCTTTGTTTCTCTGATTTTAACAAATGTAACTTAAGGTGATGGTTATGTTTTCAACGTTTCTTGAAATGTTCATGAGTAATTAAGCATAATTGTTGAACACAAGTAAGTTAAATTAAAGCGAGATGAAGGCTTATAAATAAGCTTTTCAACAATAATTATGTTTTATAATATGCCTGCTTAAATATCGTTTTCTTTTCTTTTTTTTTTTTTTTTTTTTTTTTTTGAGACGGAGTTTCACTCTTGTGGCCGAGGCTGGAGTGCAGTGGCGTGATCTTGGCTCACTGCAACCTTCGCCTCCTGGGTTCAAGCAATTCTTCTGCCTGAGCCTCCCGAGCAGCTGGGACTACAGGAATGTGCCACCACGCCCAGCTAATTTTTTTGTATTTTTAGTAGAGAGAGTTTCACCATATTGGCCAGGCTGGTCTCGAACTCCTGACCTCATGATCCACCTACCTCGGCCTCCCAAAGTGCTGGGATTACAGGCGTGAGCCACCGCACCCGGCCTCTGTGAAGATTAACAAACATTGAGAGTGATGATGAGCACCTTTGGTCCCAGCTACTTGAGAGACTGAGGCAGGAGGATTGCTTGAGCCCAGGACGTTGTGGCTACAGTGAGCTATGATTGTGCCACTGCATTCCAGCCTGGGTGACAGAGCCAGATCCTGTCGAGTAAGGAAGAGCTGGTATAGTGGCTCACACCTATAATCCCAGCACTTTGGGAGGCCAAGGCGGGCAGATCGCTTGAGCCCAGGACTTTGATACCAGCTTGGGCAGCATGGTGAAACCCTGTCTTCACTACCAGTTCAGAAAGTAGCCAGGTGTGGTGGCGTATGCCTGTGGTCCCAGCTACTCTAGCCGAACCCGGAAGGCGGAGGCTGCAGTGAGCTGAGATCACACCACTGCACTCCAGCATGGGTGACAGAGCGAGACTCTGTCTCAAAAACACAAAGAAAAAAAAAAAGGAAGGAAGGAAAGCAAGGTTAAGGGGGACAGAGAGAGAGAAAGAGACGAAGAAGGAGGAAATGCTCATTAAACGCCTGATTGCTCATACCATTTAGAGACCTAACTTAGACAGGTTCCCAACTCTTTTTTTTTTTTTTTTTTTTTTTGAGACGGAGTTTTCGCCACCAAGCCCAGCTAATTTTTTGTATTTTTAGTAGAGACGGGGTTTCACCATGTTGACCAGGATGGTCTCGATCTCTTGACCTCGTGATCCACCCGCCTCGGCCTCCCAAAGTGCTGGGATTCCAGGCTTGAGCCACCGCGCCCGGCTCAGGTTCCCAACTCTTACCTAAGCCACCTCCTTTTAAAATGTAACCAAGCTAACCTATTATCAGGACAAAGATATTGATTCAACAAAATATGGCATAGTGTGCTTAGATTTCTTTTCTTTTTTTTTCTTTCTTTTTTGAGACCCCGTCTCCCTCTCTTGCCCAGGCTGGAGTGCAGTGGCGCGATCTCGGCTCACCACAACCTCCACCTCCCATGTTCAAGCGATTCTCCTACCTCAGCCTCTCAAGTAGCTGGAACTACAGGCGCCCGCCACCACGCCCAGCTAATTTTTTGTATTTGTAGTAGAGAGGGGGTTTCACCGTGTTAGCCAGGATGGTCTCGTTCTCCCGACCTCGTGATTCGCCCGCTTTGGCCTCCCAAAGTGCTGGGATTACAGGTGTGAGCCACCGCGCCCGGCCTAAGTTTTGCCTTTTTAGTAGAGATGGGGTTTCTCCACGTTGGCCAGGCTGGTCTTGAACTCCTGACCTCAGGTGATCCCCCCACCTCGGCCTCCCAAAGTGCTGTGATGACAGACGTGAGCCGCCGCACCCAGCCAGGTTATTCCTTTTCACTTTCCCTGTTCTACCCTTTGGAATGAAGTTACTAAATCCAGTTCACTGCCGAGGTGGTTGTAGGGCCGGGCGCGGTGGATCATTTCTGCAATCGCAGCACGTTGGGATCCTCAAGAAGGATCGCTTGAGCCCAGGAGTTTGAGACCAGCCTGGGAAAAGAACCAGACGCCATCTCAAAATAAAGAGAGGCCGGGCGCGGTGGCTCACGCCTGTAATCCCAGCACTTTGGGAGGCCGAGGCGGGTGGATCACCTGAGGTCAGGAGTTCAAGACCAGCCTGGCCATCACGGCGAAACCCCATCTTTAAAAATAAATAAATGAATAAACAAATAAATAAGACAAACAAACAAAGGTATTTGTAGGGCGAGGAATTAAGCCTCACCTCCTTGAAGGAAGGTTATAACATCTATGAGATGGCCAGTCTGTCGGTAAGGAAGGAGACAACGCTCAACATGCTTTTTCTCTTCTTTTTCATTTAAGAGGCATTAAGAATCTTGGCCCGGCGCGGTGGCTCACGCCTCTAATCCCAGCACTTTGGGAGGCCGAGGCGGGCGGATCACGAGGTCAGGATTGAGAGCATCCTGGCCAACATGGTGAAACCCCGTCTCTACTAAAATACAAAAATTAGCTGGGTATGGTGGTGCACGCCTGTAGTTCCAGCTACTCGGGAGGCTGAGGCAGGAGAATGGCTTGAACCCCGGAGGTGAGGTGCAGTGAGCCGAGGTTGCGCCACTGCACTCCAGCCTGGTGCCTGGCGACAGAACGAGACTCTGTCTCAAAAAAACAGAAACAGACAAACAGAAAAACCGATGACTTACATCTGACGTGCCAGATCAGCCTCACAGGTTCGTGCAGGCTGAGCCTGGCCGATCCAAATCCTCAGGATATTTTTAGGGACCATGCGAGGCGGCTCATGCCTGTAATCCTAGCACTCTGGGAGGCCGAGGCGGCCGGATCACTTGAGGTCAGGAGTTGGAGATCAGCCTGGCTGATGTAGAGAAACCCAGTTGCTACTAAAAATACAACAATTAGCTGGCTGTGGTGGCGCACACCTGTAATCCCAGCTACTGGGGAGGCTGAGGCAGGAGAATTGCTTGAACCTGGGAGGAGGAGGTCGCGGCGAACTGAGATCACACCACTGCACTCCTGCCTGAGCGAGACTCCATCTCAAAAAAAGAAGAGTTAAATCAAGTCTTTTTGTGTTTGTTTAGTTTTGAGACAGGCTCTTGCTCTGTCTCCCAGGCTGGAGTGCAGTGGTGCGATCATAGCTCACCGCAGCCTTGACCTCTTTGGGGCCAAGCAAACCTCCCACCTGAGCCTCCTGAGTAGCTGGGAAGACAGGCACACCCCACCACACCTGGCTGATTTTTAAATTTTTCGTAGAGTCATGCTGGTTTTGAATTCTTGGCCTCAAGCAATCTTCTCACCCTGGCTCCCTGAAGTCCTGGGATTATCGGTGTAGTCATCATGCCTGGACATAAAATCTTTTAACTGGGCGCGGTGGCTCACGCCTGAAATCCCAGTACTTTGGGAGGCTGAGGCGGGTGGATCACGAGGTTAAGAGATCAAGACCATCCTGGCTAACGTGGTGAAACCCTGTCTCTATTAAAAATACAAAAATTAGCCAGGCGTGGTGGTGGGTGCCTGCAATTCCAGCTACTTAGGAAACTGAGGCAGGAAAATTGCTTGAATCTGGGAGGCTGAGGTTGCAGTGAGCTCAGATTGTGCCACTGCACTCCAGCCTGGGTGACACAGTAAGACTCCATCTCAAAAACCAAAAAAAAAATACACTAAAAAAAAAATATTTTAGGGCCGGGCGTGGTGGCTCAAGCCTGTAATCCCAGCACTTTGGGAGGCTGAGGCGGGTGGATCACGAGGTCAAGGGATCGAGACCATCCTGGTCAACATGGTGAAACCCCGTCTCTACTAAAAATACAAAAAATTAGCTGGGCATGGTGGCGCTTGCCTGTAATCCCAGCTACTCAGGAGGCTGAGGCAGGAGAATTGCTTGAACCCAGGAGGCGGAGGTTGCGGTGAGCCGAGATCGCGCCATTGCATTCCAGCCTGGGTAACAAGAGCGAAACTGTCTCAAAAAAAAAAAAAAAAAAAAAAAAAAATTTTAATGTGTTCGTTTTACATTAGTAAGAGAATCATAGTATTTCCTTCCCTTGAAAACTAGCCTATAAGGCCTGGCACGGTGGCTCACACCGGTAATCCCAGCATTTGGGAGGCCGAGACAGGTGGATCACTTGAAGTCAGGAGTTCGAGACCAGACTGGCCAACATGGCTAAATCCTGCTTCTACTAAAAATACAAAAATTAGCCAGGTGTAGTGGCGCGTGCCTGTAATCCCAGCAACTTGGGAGACTGAGGCAGGAGAATTTCTTGAACCCAGGAGGCAGAGGTTGCAGGGAGCCGAGATCGTGCTACTGCACTCCAGCCAGGGTGACAGAGCCAGACGTCATCTCAAAAAAAAAAAAAAAAGGGGGCCGGGCGCGGTGGCTCACGCCTGTAATCCCAGCACTTTGGGAGGCCGAGGCGGGTGGATCACGAGTTCAAGAGATCGAGACCATCCTGGTCAACAAGGTGAAACCCCGTCTCTACTAAAAATACAAAAAAATTAGCTGGGCACGGTGGCGTGTGCCTGTAATCCCAGCTACTCAGGAAGCTGAGGCAGGAGAATTGCCTGAACCCAGGAGGCGGAGGTTGCGGTGAGCCGAGATAGCCCCATTGCACTCCAGCCTGGGTAACAAGAGCGAAACTCCGTCTCAAAAAATTAAAAAAAAAAAAAAAAAAAAAAAAAAAAAAAAAAAAAGACATATTGTACAATATACCTTCCTGTTTTGGGGTGTTTACCACTGGCATTCTAGTTCCAGATTTTGCTGCGGCTAGAGTCTTGTACATTCTTTTGTTCCCTTTTCCTGGAACACCCTGACGTCCCCACTAGGGAACAAATTCTTTGAAACTCCCCAGACAGTGTCCCTGCCCCATCCTCTGTCCTTGTCCGGCCCCAGTTCCCATAGTCTGTCTCAATCCATATTACCCAGTATGGGGTCAGCACAATGGGGGTGGCCAGGGATGTTTGTGTAATTAATGAACCCATTTCCTGCTTGATGAACTCCTATTTACCCTTCGAAACCCCAGCTCCAATGCCCTTCTTCCCTACGCAAAGACTTCTCTCCCTCTGGGATCCTCTAGTCCCAGCCCATCCCTTTTGGTCCATGCCTGATCTCAAGAGACTCGGCATGTCTATCTGGGTCTGTGTCCCCTGGACAGGGGCTCCCCGGGCTAAGGTGTGTCAAGGGTCCAGCGCTGCACAGGCCCGGGGAAGGGAGAATGGCTGACCTATCAAATAAATGACAGCATCCAGAAGGGTTTATTCAACTAGTTTTACTTTAGCACCGTTCTTAGTGGAGCAAGATTCTGGATCACGGGGTGGAATTTTGTGCGTCTGGGCTTCATGGGAAACAGAGAAAATTTGCAGTTGGTAACAAAGAAATGAGCAGCAGGTGCCAAGGGGCCGGATCGGAAAACATGGCAGGGAGCTGGGTTCCCCCTTGCCCTCCATCGGCTCCCTGCGGGGCACCGGCCATCACTTGAAGCAGACACTCCTGAGGGAGCTGGTTGAGGGAGGGCAGGTATCTGGCTTCTTGCCCTGGAGGGGAAGGCCACGAGTTGGAGTCCTGGAAGGAGACCCCATCCCCACCACCTGAACCCCACTGCTCCCTGCCCAGCTTACTTGGTACAGCTGGCAGACGAGGGCCAGGAGCTGGCTCAGATCTTCCAAGGGTTTCTGCACAAAGCAAGACAGGGGGTCGCTTAGTCCCAGCAGCTGCCTCAACCTATGTACCCTGGTTCCAGCCCAGAAAGGGCTACATGTAGTGGTCCCAAGTCTGGCCCCCGCCTCCCACCTCACAAATCAGTGGGCACATCCGTCCCAATGGGGGTGGCTAGGGATGTTTAATGCATTGAATTAATACACACTTTCTTTTTTGTTTCTTGTTTTTTGTTGTTTAAGACACACATTTTTTTTTTTTTTATTTTTGCCTGATGGACTCCTACTCACCCTTCAAAACCCCAGCCCCAGTGCCCTTTTTTCCTATGCAAAGCCATCACTCCCACTCTGGGCTCCTTTATCCCTGGTTCCTCTGTCTGGTCCATCCCTGACTCCCTGGGACTACGGGTGTCAAGCTGAGGGCTAAGAAGATCCTTACCCCATTGACGGTGACCCAGGGCACATACTCGTGGGGTGGCTGGAGAGCATCTGTCCGCTGGGCGTTGGCGTGCATGAGCTGCATGCCGCGGTCCCCCGTCGCACACTTCATGACAGTGTCTGGTGACAGGTCTGGGGCATAGAGCTTCAGGCACTGGGTGGGGTGGAGGAGCAGGGGGTTGCCTCAGCTTCCTCCCCGTTATCTCCTCAACGGTCCCCCACCAGCCCTAAGCCAAGCCTGTTTCGTCACTGAGAAGAGGGTACAGCTGGCGTCACAGCCACGCAACAAGGCCGCAAACATCAAGCGCTCAATCCATGCTTTAGTGGCGGCCTGGAAGCAGGGCTGCGGCTGCTCCTAGCCTGCCTGTTTCATTCCTAAGACCAGATCCGCTGCCTCGGACCCCCGTGGCATCTCACTTTCCTCAGGGCCTCCGTCCATGCTGATCCCTCTGCCAGAAACACCTTTCCTCCTCCTTCCCCAGTGTCTCCTCAGTGCCCTCTCCTCCTTGACACCCTTCCCGCCCCAATCTAACCCTGCAGGACTCGGGTGTCGCTGGGTGGGGCCTCGTGGGTGGCTGGGATGTTTGGTGAATGAACACTGATTAGAGCTGATGAGCCACTAGTCCGGGAGTGATTCTTCACAGTCCCCTGGGGAAGCAGGCGGGGCCTGTCCTATCATCTCCACATCCCCTCATCTGTGTCTCTGCACATTCCTGCTCATCCTTCCATGCCCAGCTCAGAGACGCCTCCTCCAGTAAGCCCTCCGTGATCACTCATGCTCCTCTGATTCAAAGATGGAGGCTTCAAGAGGGGAGGCTGGGACCGGGCGCGCTAGCTCACACCTGTGATCTCAGCCCTTTGGGAGGCGAGGGCAGGCAGATCACTTGAGGTCAGGAGTTTGAGACCAGCCTGGCCAGCATGGTGAACCCTGCCTCTACTAAAAAATACAAAAAGGAGCCCGGCATGGTGGTGGTTTGCACTCCTCTTCCCAGCTACAAGGGAGGCTGAGGCGAGAGGATCACTGAAACCCAGGACACAGAGGTTGCAGTGAGCTGAGATCGCACCACTGCACTTCAGCCTGCAGAGCAAGAGCCTGTCTCAAAAAAAAAAAAGAGGCCGGGCACAGTGGCTCACGCCTGTAATCCCAGCACTTTGGGAGGCCGAGGCGGGTGGATCACGAGGTCAAGAGATCGAGACCATCCTGGTCAACATGGTGAAACCCCGTCTCTACTAAAACTATAAAAAATTAGCTGGGCGTGGTGGCGCGTGCCTGTAATCCCAGCTACTCAGGAGGCTGAGGCAGGAGAATTGCCTGAGCCCAGGAGGCGGAGGTTGCAGTGAGCCGAGATCGAGCCATTGCACTCCAGCCTGGGCAACAAGAGCGAAACTCCGTCTCAAAAAAAAAAAAAGAAGGAAGGTTGTTCTCCCGGCTGCACAAAGAGCAATGGTCAGGGCTAGGACCTTAGGACTTGAATCTGGGTCTGCCTGGGTGCAGGGGAGGCTACCACCCCGTCCCTCTCCTCGTGCGGAGTGAGGGCGTCACTCACTAGCGGCAGGCTTTCTTCCATGTTGTCGAACTCTTCCATGCAGACGATAGTCAGGAAGGCTGACTCCATCTCCAGTTCATCCAACAGGCAGGCCTGGGGTTCGGAGAGGGGGCAGGAGAGGGCATGAGGCGGGCCCAGGGCGCCCTGACACCCAATCCTAATAATCACCTAGGCCCACCCAGGAGACAGGGAATACAGATGTGATGACATGGGAACCCAAGAGGCAGAAGACAGAGCCCGCACCCTCGCATTCGCCTCCTGTACATTGGGCAGTGCCTCCCACCCTGGCGAGGGGGCCCTGGCTTACCTCCACCTTGTTGAATTTGCACTCCTCTTCTCCATGCTGGCACTTGAACTCCCACCTACCGCTGACATTTTGTTCCTGCAAGGCAGCAGGGTGAGAGCTGGCTGGCAGGCTGGGTCCCCTGCTCCCCTGCCCACGTGCCTCAGTTTCCCCAGTGCCCGCGCACCTGCGCGTTTCCGTAGGGCACCAGTGTGACATTGAGGATCTCCATGACCATCAGCCACGTTGGGAAGAGCTCCCGGATCAGGAAGGCGCGGCAGCCACCACACAGGGCTTCATAGTAGAGGGTGACATTGACAAGCTGTGCCCCGGACTCCCTGAGGGGCTTCTGCAGGTATAGACTGCCCATCTGTGGATTAGGAAGGGCTGTGAGGCAGGTGAAGCCCTGCGCAATTCTCCACTTCTCTAAACCCCACTGGGTATTTTTTATTCTTTTTTTAGACAGAGTCTCTGTCGCCCAGGCTGGAGTGCAGTGGCGAGATCTCGGCTCACCGCCACCTCCGCCCCCCAGGTTCAAGCGACTCTTCTGCCTCGGTCTCCTGAGTAGCTGGGATTACAGGCGCGCGCCACCACACCCGGCTATTGTTTTGTTTTGTTTCTTTGTGTTTTTTTTTTGTATTTTTAGTAGAGACGGGGTTTCTCCATGCTGGCCAGGCTGGCCTCAAACTCCTGACCTCAGGTGATCCCCGCCTTGGCCTCCCAAAGTGCTGGGATTACAGGTGTGAGCCACTGAGCCTGGAGAGCCTGTTTTTTTTTTTGAGAGGGAGTCTTGCTCTGTCGCCCAGGCTGGAGTGCAGTGGCGTGATCTCAGCTCACTGCAATGTCCACCTCTTGAGTTCAAGCGACTCTCCCGCCTCAGTCTCCCAAGTAGCTGGGATTACAGATGCCCACCACCACAGGCGGCTAATTTTTGTATTTTTAGTAGAGATGGGGTTTCACCATGTTGGCCGGGCTGGCCAGGCTCGAACTCTTAACCTCAAGCGATCCCACCCACCTCACCTTTCCAAAGTGCTGGGACTACACATGAGCCACCGCGCCCGGGCCATGCTCATTTCTTGCTTAAACTTTACCCGTAAACCTTGGCCTTGAGCGCAGCCAGGGACCCATGGGAACCCTTTCCAAGTCCACCGAATAGAGGCGGCGCCTAATCTGTGCTAACTTCCGGCTTCAGCGGCGGGGTGGCGGGCGGCCCCGGTGGCGGGAGCCGTGAGCAAGCCCCTCAGCCTGCGGGGAATCTGCCTCCCAGGCCCCGGAGGCACGCGCGCCCCGCCCGGGCTGGAATGGGCGCACCGGGGGCGGCAGCAGGAACGCACGCCGGGGCCTCGACCGGCCGCCGAACTCCTCCGGCTGCGCCCTGGGCCCCAAAAGGAGACCCCGGCTCCCTGCGCCAGAAGTATACAGTAGGCGCTCAATGAAATCCTGAGCGGGACCAGGCGGGTGGGGGCAGCTGCGCGTCTCAGACGCGGGATGGGAAAGCGAAACGGCGCGGAGAGTGTGGCCGCAGCGCCGGGGACCGAACGCGGGTCTTCCAGGACCCCGCCAGGGACAGCGTCCCCTCGGGGCCCCCCCTCGTCTTCCCCCGGGAAGTCTGGGGGGACAGGAGGAGCCGCCGGTCCCGCCAGGGCGCCTGTCCCCTCCAGCCGGCCCGCCCTGGCGCCGTCCCTACCTTGTGGGTGACGGGCGGCCCGTTCCCAAAGACGTCTAAGGCTGGCAGGGGGGCCGCGGGCACCGCCGCCGTGGGGACGGCCAGCAGCAGCAGCAGCGGCGGCGGCAGGAGCAGCAGGAGCGGCGGCGGGGCCATCGCGGCGGGGGGGGGGCAGCCGCCGGGGAAACCAGCGCCTTTAAGCCGGCGGGGCCCCGCCCCTGGCCCGACGCCGCCTCCCGGCGCCCCTCCCCTCGGTCCCGGGCCAGCGTCTCGCCCTCCTCCACGCCTCCCTCCAGGTATCTCACCCCCACCCCTGCCAGGTGCGGGGGCCCCGGTCACGAGGCCACTGGGCCCCTGGGCAGTCAGCCCGGCCCGGTCGTGTGAGCCCTGAGGGCAGAGGACATTTAGGGGAGGTGGGGTGAGGCCTTCCAGACAGAGAGGCCCAGAGCCATGGGGGTGTCTCCGCTCCTCGCAGCCCGAGACCTTCCCGGGGCGGCTGGGGGACCCCAGGCCCAGGGCCCACTCTCAGAGGAGGCTGTGCCCTAACAGGGGTGCCGTCGGATGGAGGCTGGGCTGCTGGGGGAGTAACTGAACGTTCACCCCCCTGTCTGAGCGTGGGCAAGGCCTGTGTGGCCAGGTCCCCTCCCTCCAGCCCGGCCCCTGACCTCCCTCACGCCCACCCCCAGCCACCCCCCCCCGCACCTTCCCCCCTCGAACTTCCCAACCCCAATGCTCCAGACTCCCCCACTGCAGTCCCGTGGGGCTGACTCAGGCTTGGCCACAGCTGTGCCAGGAAAGCAGAAGCCGACACAGGGAGGGGCCCATCACTTCTCTAGCCCCCCCTACCCCACAAGCCCAACTTCTGGCTTGGGGTGAACTGGCCTTCCTTCTTTTCACGGTCCAAGGCTTGTGGGTGGTGGTGGGGGGGGAGGTACAGCAGCAGGCTGTGCTGCTTGGGGTAGGGGTGGGTGGCTTGGCGTCTACATGGCTTTGGATTTGAGTGATGGAGCCTCAGCTTTCCCTTCTGTGTAATGGGGGGAAGGATAAGGTTTGGGGGAAAGAATCACCATGGAGGGCTCAGAGGCAGGTGGGGGAGAGTTGTCCCAGACTGGGGCTTCCTGGTGGCATGATCAGGCATTGGTGCCTGCATAGAACAGTGGCCCGGGCAGTGAAGGCAGAGACAGTACCCCAGAAAAAAGGCCCAGATGGAGGCAGGAGTGTTGGGGGAATAATTAAGACATTCAGACCCTGCAGGGCCTCATTCAGGGCAAGACAAACCAGATCCTACAGAAGAAAATGTACCAAACCTGGCGGGGAGATGTAGGTGAGTCCCCAGCTGTGCCCACCTCTAGTTTCGGGGAAGACACACACACAGTGGCTGATTTGGGAGCCAGAGTTTCCCTCAAGTCCCAGTGGCTGGATGGTCCCCCAGCCCATCCCTCAGATGACCAAACCCTTGGCAAAGCCCTTTTCCTTCTCAAAGGCTCCCCAAGACTCACTGCCTGAACTTTCATGCTTACCCTATGCCAGGTGGGATTGAAGAAATAACAATAAATATAATTGCTACAATTTTTCCAGTAAATACTGGGCACCAGCCCTATGGGAAGAAATCATAAATGTAACCTCACAATATATTGCTCTCTGGCTTGGCACCAGGCACAGAGTGGGACCACAATCCATTTTATTTTATTTTATTTATTTTGAGACACAGTCTCACTCTGCCACTCAGGCTGGAGTGCAGGGGCACGATCTTGGGTCACTGCAGCCTCTGCCTCCTAGATTCAAGCAATTCTGCCTCAGCCTCCCAAGTAGCACATGTCACAATGCTCAGCTAATTTTTTTTTTTTTTTTTTTTTTTTTTTGAGACGGAGTTTCGCTCTTGTTACCCAGGCTGGAGTGCAATGGCGCGATCTCGGCTCACCGCAACCTCCGCCTCCTGGGTTCAGGCAATTCTCCTGCCTCAGCCTCCTGAGTAGCTGGGATTACAGGCACGTGCCACCATGCCCAGCTAATTTTTTGTATTTTTAGTAGAGATGGGGTTTTACCATGTTGACCAGGATGGTCTCGATCTCTTGACCTCGTGATCCACCCACCTCGGCTTCCCAAAGTGCTGGGATTACAGGCTTGAGCCACCGCGCCCGTCTCTACAACCTATTTTATCATTGACCCTCAGAAGCATCCAGCTGGGGCTGGGGGTAGGGGCTATGGACTCCAGTTGGTAACAAAGAAATGGCTGATCAGAGAGGGAAGGCTATTTTGCCAAGGACACACAGCCAGTGGTTGAGTGTTTTTAAAGGCCACATGGGCTATTCTTTTCCACCCCCAGCTCAGCATAGCTGGGGCCATGAAGATGGTGATCTTTCTCCTGTGATCACCTACACAGTGAGAGGCACTGTCTGGGCTGGAGTAATTTATGGGGCATCTCCAGACAGGACACATGGCAGGGACAGTGCCTGGCAAGGCTGGGGGGCCCTGAGGTAAGGGAAGCAGCTCGCATCCCAAGGTCCCAGCAGGAGACTGGGTCAGAAGGGGGGTTTGTTCATTCGATTGCCCCAGGCTCAGCCTTCGTGGGCCCTGAGACGTGGCTGGACAGGAACAGACAAGGACAGGGCGGCCCCAGGGGTGGGGAGGGCTGAAGGGACAAGGATGTGGCATTCTGGGTGTGATGGGGAGGGTGGTAAACAGGAGTCCAGGTGAAAGACTCTACGAGGTTACTCGTGGTGGCTCACACAATTTGGGGAGGCTGAGGTGGGAGGATTGCTGGAGACCAGGAGTTTGAGACCCATCTGGAAAAGAGAAAAGACCTTTGTTTTTTGTTTTGTTTTTTTTTTTTTTTGAGACGGAGTTTCGCTCTTGTTACCCAGGCTGGAGTGCAATGGCACGATCTCGGCTCACCGCAACCTCCGCCTCCTGGGTTCAAACAATTCTCCTGCCTCAGCCTCCCGAGCAGCTGGGATTACAGGCACTCACCACCATGCCCAGCTAATTTTTGTATTTTTAGTAGAGACGGGGTTTCACCATGTTGACCAGGATGGTCTCGATCTCTTGACCTCGTGATCCACCCGCCTCAGCCTCCCAAAGTGCTGGGATTATAGGCGTGAGCCACCGCGCCCGGCGACCTTTGTTTTTTTCTTGAGACAGAGTCTGACTGTGTCACCCAGGCTGGGGTGCAGTGGCACAATCTTGGCTCACTGCAGTGTCGACCTCCCAGGTTCAAGCAATTCTGTCTCAGCCTCCCACGTAGCTGGGATTACAGGCATGGGCTACCATGCCTGGCTAGTTTTTTTTTTTTTTTTTTTTTTTTTTATGGTCTCTTTAGTAGAAACCAGGTTTTGCCATGTTGGCCAGGCTGGTCTCAAACTCCCGACCTCAACTGATCTGCCTGCCTTGGCTTTTCCCAAAGTGCTGAAGTGACAGGTGTGAGCCACCGCACTCGGCACGATCTTGTTTCTGAAAACATTTGAAAACAATTAGCTGGACGTGGTGACTCGCACCCGAAATCCAGTGACTCAGGACGCTGAGATGGGAGGATGGCTTGAGCCTGGAAACCAGCAGTTTGAGGCTGTGAGCCATCGGCTGTGGTCACGCCACTGCGCTCCAGCCTGGGTGACAGAGCGAGACCATGACTCTAAAAAGAAAGAAAAAACCCCCTCACGGGGCCTCTGCTCAGCATCCCCTGGGACCTGGCAGGCTGAACATGGGGGCAGGAGAGGTCAGGCAAGAACCTCAAATGCTAGATGAAGGTGCTGACAATTGGAGGATCTCAAGACCTGGGAGACCCATCCGCGTGGCATGGGAAGGTTGTGACTTCTGACGTCACTTGGGAATGAATGAGGAAGCTGTACATCAGGGAGGCCTCGGGTATGACTTTCCCAGGGATGTAGCTGGTGGCTGCCACAGGATTCATATTGGGAGTTGGGGGCGGGGGAGTCAGCTTGGAAGCACTTGAGGGGCTGGATGGGGTCTGGGGTCCCAATCTCTCTCCTGTCACCTTGGGCAGTGCCTCAACCTCTCCGGGCTTGAGCAGCTAAACTGGGGGAGGGAGGGAGTTGTCGGGCCTCAGAGGTGGCTTGGCATTAAGTAATCCCGTAAATGCCAGGGTCCCCCGCACGCAGAGGTGGCAGTGAAGCCCAGTCACTGACACGAGAATCATCCACGACGTTTGATGTTTTATATCGTATCAATAACAACGTACCGTACAAAACCTGCCTCCCAGCTCGCCGGGCAGGCAGTGTGGCAGCCAAGGGTGGCGTAGAAAACCAGGGCTCTCGTCCCAAAAGAGAGAAAAGAGGGTTTTGCAGTCAAGGAAAAATAGAATCAAAACCCAGCGTGATGGAAGAGAAGCCCTGAATCTGCGTAGAGGGGCCGCGGGCAGTGGCGCAACTCGGCCCCAGCAGCGGCCCCAGCACGGGGAGCTACGATTCCTGGGGGCTAAGGGGGGGGCGGGGGTTGGGGCCGGCTCACAAGTTTAGTTTTTGAGATGCAGGAGGGTTACTCTGTCGTCCGGGCTAGAGTGCAGTGGCGCCATCTCGGCTCACTGCAGCCTCCATCTCCCGGGTTCAAGTGATTCCCGCGCGCGCCTCAGCCTTTGGAGTAGCTGGGATTACAGGCACGCGCCACTACTCACGGCTACTGTCTGTATTTTAGTAGAGACGGGGTTTCGCCCCGTTGGCCAGGCTGGTCTCCAACTCCTGACCTCAAGAGATCTGCCCGCCTTGGCCTCCCAAAGTGCTGGGATTCCAGGCGTGAGCCACGGCGCCCGGCCTAAGGGTTTATTTTAAATTATTTTTCGGGGGTTGGGGAACTCGCAGCGGCCCCGTGGTGGGGATGACCCGGCGGCGGGGTTTCACTTCAGGGTTTGGAGGGGAAGTTGGAGTCTGTGGGGCGGGTCCCGCCCGGCCCCGAATGTCATGGCCGAGGTTCTTGGAGGCAGCGGAGTCAAGTTCCTTCCTGCCCTGACCCCAGGTCTATGGCTTAAAAATCGGGGTGCCCAGGCTGGGGCCGCGCAGCCCAGGGGCCCTCTGTAAACATGGCAGGTACAGCCAGAAAGGGCTTCCGGGACCCCGGGGAACCTGCGGTGGGCAGGGCAGAGGGTCAGGGTGACCAGAGCCATGGAGAGGGCAATGCCCGGGGGGGGATGAGGAGATACGGGGTGGGGGAG